GACAACTAGTCCTGATCCACAGTGAAGTTTGTATTTGCAGAACATGTCCATCCGGGAGTAAAAATAACAAAATAACATTTAAGAAAATAGAAGTCAAACAAAAATAATTGTACATAACAACTTACTTTTCTCCATTCCACACAATCAGCTTCAGCAACAATGGAAAGAACTGCAACTATATGAATCTAGATTAGTGGTACATCTATCTCCTAGTCTAACAATGAATTCGAGTCAGTGAATGGCCAAAGAAGCCCCCGCAGTGGTGAGCACTTGTTGACAATAAGTGGCTATAAATTTGGTAGGCGCAACATTTGCCGATTTGGTAGAAGGGAGAACAAAATGTCTTGGCCGTAGAATCAGTTCGTATGTAAATATGAAATGTCTTGTCTGGTAGAAAGTGGAGAAACATTTTGTGGATATCCACATCCTCTCTGCCGATATCTAAACTTACATTAATACCCAATTTTAAGTAAATGTAAAAAATTAATTATAATGAATAAATATATGTGACAGTTGGCTTACATATTAAATTATTAATATAAAAATAAAACGCGTCCTCATCATACATCTTCTAAAATTGTGTATCAAACTTAAGAAAATAATATTTTAGTAGGAGAAATCATTTTTAATTTTAGATAAACATTAAAAAATAAAATAGATAGCTTATAATCATTATCAGTTATTGGGTTTTTTTTTTTTTTTGGTACCGTGGGGTGGGGATTCGAACTCACAACATCATTGGGGTATTTTTATTAAGACTAAGTATAACAATTACTATAATATAAAATAATAATAAGCACGCATATAATTAGTATCTATATCTATAAAATGCTCGAAGGAAAGTGGCAATTATCCAGCCATGTTATATAGAGATAAATATATCATTTACTTGGAATGTATGTGTAGCATAATTTAAAAATGAATTAAAAAAATAAGTTAATGAGGAAAGACAACAATGATACAAGTGTAAATTTGTTTCCCCTATACATTTTAAAAGCCAAATACATTTCAGTTCTTCAAAAACAAATTGAAGAAAGCTGTTCATAAAATCGGGTGACAGTTAATAAAATTTATTCCTATGAGTGAAAAATTAGAAACTAGTCAACAACTCATACCTGTGGCAGCAGTGTAGGAAAAGAAGTTAGAAATTTATTTCAATTTGCATTAAAAATTTCTAGAACTGCTTCTGCAACAATTGGATCTGCAAACTCACTGTAGTCATATTAGAATAAGATCAAAGAGTGTATTGTGATCAGCATATTAATACATTGTAAAATAGAAATTTAGGGTTTGTCCACCAAGAGAAGCTACAATACAGTACAAAGATAGTTGTAATAGCACTATGCCTTCTCATCTAGGATCTTAACTCTTTTTCTTTTTGGCATAAAACAAAAACTTTCATAAGAGATACACAGGTTTAAAGAGGATGCTACGACACAAGCAGATAAAAACTGAATCAGATTGTGAGAAAAAGGATGCAACAAAAGGCATGCCACAAGAAAAGAGTAAGCCATACAGAGACGCACTAGGGACCCCAAAAGATAATTGGAAAGAGAAATACAACGCAGGATCCCAATTATTGATGTAGTTAGTTGGGGTAGTTAATTGATGTGGTTCCTTTATTGTTAGAAGCCAAGGTAAGGTACCCACGTGCTAACTGCTCAACTGTATAAAACATGTAGACTTACTACCTTTCAGTTTTCAAGTCTCCTACAGAAGTGATTTCATAAGTCAAAAGAGTATTGACATCAACAATCCTCTCCTCCTCTTTAGTAAGTATTATTGGAGCTGCAGAAGGAATTCAAGGAAACAACTTCCTTGAAAGACATAGTATTCGTACGAAGGACTTCCTGTTTCTCATTATTTGTTTTAGGGAACTCACGTAATAGATAGAGGAAGCTTTCCAACTAATTTCTCCATACCATCCAGGATCATTAAACATAATTTTTGAAATTCAGAAACCAAATAGAGCCTTTCCTAAAAACTCCGAAACAGAAAAGGTATTTATCCCCTAAACAATTAAAAGCCAAGCAAGATATTTCATACATTAAAATAATTCTAAAAGAAACAACTTCCATGCAATTATGCAGTATTTTTGTGTAACAAACATAAGCAACTCAACTTTGCAGTTATTATGATCATACACCAAATAAGTTAACTGTCACAAGAAATTCAAATAAGAGGCTTTAAGGGTGTGTTTGGGCGTGATTTTGGCATGTTGCCATTGTCAAAATCACTTCCCTTTCTCTTTCCATTGATCATGTTTGACAAATTAAAATTTTGATTTTAGAAAATTTTAAAATCACTTTAAATTAATTTTTAAGGTATCACTTCGATGGTGATTTTGAAAAATCAATTATACTTAAATCTCTTTTTCCAAAATCCCTCCTTCTACCACCACTCCCAAATACAACCTAAGTTTTAAACAGAAAATCCAAAGAGAAGCTTGTTATAAACAATGTTAATAGAGCAATGATAGATTTTTATACCCAATACACTGGTGAACATAAATAAAATCAAGTAATTAGAGACATATTTATATGAAGCCTATGCTTACCGGCTCAAACATGAACGGAAGAATGTCTTCAGACTGGGATCAGCATCATGTAAGACCAATTCACCAAAGTCAATGAAAAATTGAAGAATGGCCTAATAAACAATTGAAAAAAAGGAAAATATAACTAACACAAGTACCACAAAGTTGCATCTGATTCTTAGAAGACACATCATAAAATAAACTCGGCACCAATAATCTTCAAGAATCAAGATATTAAATTATAGAGGATAGTAGATACTTATGATCCTACACTGTAAGAGAATATATCAACTAAAAAGAAAGTATAAAAGGCCCAAGGAAAATGTATCCTCCACTCCAATAAACTAGCAATAAAATAAAACTGAACTCAGAACTCCTCAAGTTCACCTGATGCTCTAGACTGTACACAAAGAAAGAAATGGGGGCCCAAAAAGTCTTATGTCAAAGGAATCAAAAGGAAACTAACAAATCAAAGTTTGAAATCATATAGGATATGAGAAATATATAAAACCCTTGATTTTTATTTTTTCTTATATTCGCGAGTGTCTAGGCCAGCTTACGCACACCTCAACTAATCTCACGGGGTAACCGTCTGACCCTACAACATTTGGTGCCGGAAAACACATAGGAATTACTAATTCCTAAGGTAGATGGCCATCATGGGTTTTGAACATAAAACCCTTGATTATTAGTATTGTTTTATTACTTACCAAAAGGACTAGTTAATTTGCCAATCGTACTTGGCAGCTACCTAGCACTCTCTCCAATAAAAGATAAATGAGCAACCTATGAAGTACCCAGGTTTCCCTCAGTAGCATCAGTTCCCTTCGCTTCTAGAAGCTAGTGGCCAAAAAGATCAAAAGATAATTGGAAAAAGAAAAGGGGACTATCTTTCATTGTTCATTTTTCATGCTACCTAGCATCTGAGAGACAGAACTTCAAGAATACTTAAGAAAAATCATTATTATTCAAAATTAGTAGTTAGATTATAATTGACTATTCCTCGTTGAGAGGATGGCAACCCACTAAGTAAAAATCAATTGGTGACAAAATAACCAACTAACAAACAAATTAAAACAAAAGAGTACAAGCTTATCCCTAAACCTAAGAAGCACAGACATGGACACGCGACACGGATACAACACGACACGCGACACGGCGACACGTCAATTTTAAAAAAAGTAGGACACGACACGTTGGGAACACATTAATTATTTATATGATTTTTAATTAATATTTAAATGAAAATGATTATATATATACATATATAACTCTAGCCTCAAATTTTCTCTCATAATAAAGAAGACCTTATTTTCATCTTTGATTCCCTCTTCCCACTTAATAATCTAGCCCTAGTTTTTATCTATTTCATCACAACCCACTACCTCCTCTCCTCCTCCTTTCTCAACGTTGCTGTTTTGTCTTCCTTCTTCTTTATCTTCTTCTTTGTTCGTCTATCTTCTATAAGTTTGGAGGAGTACATGACTTTTGGGGAAATTTTTATTGGTTTCTAGAGAAGAAAGAACTAAAGACCTCTAGCTTGGTCGTCGGTTGATGAAGAAGAAATAAGAAAACTAGGTAAACGTGGAAAAATATAAAATCTGGAAGTGGGAGGAGAAAGATCGGAAAAAAAGACACTCACGTGTCCCAGACGTGTCACGAGCATGTCCCAGACGTGTCACGAGCGTGTCCCAGACGTGTCGTCAACGTGTTCCCAACGTGTCAGATTTTTTAAAATTAAAAATAATTTCAGACACATGTCGGAGCGTGTCGGACACCGACACTTCTTCATTTTGAGCATGTCCGTGCTACCTAGCCCTAAACCTACTACATCAATTTCCTTCCTCTAGCTTGTCCTCAAAGTCAATGTGGTGAAGACACATGGTCGGAAACAAAGAACTTTAAAAGCTAAAATTTCACTTCTTCTTGTGAGGTATAAAAGGTCCAACTTAGAATGTTTTCTTCAACCTATCAAAACACCAATCACCAATACAGCAACCAATCAAACCACCAAATAACTATACATTCATGAATGATCTTGGGGCCTATGGATTATGCAATCTCTCACTTGAAAAACATAAAATTCAAGCTGAAGATTTCCACCCAGTTTCACCAATTACTAAATTTGTCTTTAATTTAACTAAACAATATTAAGTTAGTGAAGCCTATTGAAAAGATAATCATTTGACTCCCTCTCAGAAACGCCTGCAAAGCATTCCTTCTCCCTCTATGGCCTTTTGCTCGGTATGTGCGACCTCCTTCATCAAAATAACCAACAAAACCAAGAAGAATTCTTCTTCATTCCTAGTCAACCAAGCATAACATGGTTCTTGGCACAAAAGAATGCTCATAGGCTCTTGGCTCAAAATAACGCTCGATTGTGACATTCTACTGGATTGGAGTCCCTTTCTTTAGAGGACTTCCTCTCTCATGGCTGTTTTTTGTAGGCCCTCTTTTGTACTTCTTGTATCTCTTTTCATTTTTCTCAATGAATGTGTCGTTTCTCATTGGAAAAAAACACTCGATTGTGAACGTTACCTCATTGCTCTCACCTCTCGGAAGCTTTTGAATACTTCTAAGCTTGTTCTCAAACTTGAGACAACACAGAATCGCATTAATTCTCTTCGAACAAATGGGTTGCATAGCAATCAAAAATAAAGAACAGTTACAAAAGGAAGGGGAAACAGTTTACAGTCACCTATCAGGTCTGGATTTTAGTTTTTTGGGGTCAATATCAATACAGTTGATACCCATAACCAATTACAGATATTCTATAACCCAATGGGCATTTGCAAGGTCGTGTTAACTTTATCTGATTGGTTCTGTTTTACATTTTTGGTGCTTGTTCCCCAAAACCAGATAACAGCTTAAAGAACCAATACACGTAAAACTTAATACTAGCCTTACATTCGAATATATGAGTTCCTCTCTCACTAGCCACCCTGATAGTATAGCCATGATAAAAGACACTTCCATATATCGTGGGATAAACAAATAAAACAGTAGCCACGTGGATAACAAGTAAAATTACTGAGAAAAACGAAAGCACACCAATAAGAGGAGGCCATTAGAAGTTCTAGATTGAGACAGGGACGATACCGAACGCTGAAAAATCTTGTTAAAGTGAGGATACACCCGAGCCACCAAATCCTCAGAATTCTCAGCTTTGCACAATTCATATAGCCTTTTAACCTGATAAATGTTTAATAACATTGCCATCAAAATCAAGGGAGATTAGAAAAATATATACAAATACGCGTATATGGTATGGTTCGAAAGAGATTTTGCAGAAACCCAATAAAGCTCGGCTCTCATTAATTAAGAACGGCGTTCTGGGTCATGGTAAAACAGCATATTACAGAGATTTAAACATTATCCTCCATGTTTTTCCGATAAACAAAACAGAAAGCAAGGAGGAAGCTCACTGATTGGAGAATATTAGGATCGGAAGCGGGATCGTTTGCGACATTCGAGTCTCTGGCGCTGTTGGATAAATTTCTGAGATGAAAATCCCAATCCCGGTCTCGATCCACCATTTTTCCTGAATCAATTTCCGATAGATGTCAGAAGTGGAATTTGGATGCTGCTTGGGACATTTGTTATGCTATTCTTTCGTTATACTTTCAGATTTTTTTTTTCCTTTTTTTAAAATTATTTTTAAGAGAGTGCATAAATGACAAAATCAAAAATTAAAAAAATATATATATATCAAAAAATAAAAATATATATAATGTTCAGTACAATGACAAAATACAAATATTTGTTCTTCCAATATAGTATATCAAGTTTAATTACATACTGTCAAACCGAACATAATTTGGTTAAGGCATCTATCTCTGACTAATACGATAATACATAATATTTTAAACACATGTAATATTTTGTTGTCATCAAATGTAATTTCCTTTTTAAATTATTATATGATGTTTTTTAAGGGATACAAAATCTATTTCAATGAAATATTTTTTTAGTTTGAAAGAAGGTGCGATGACTTTATTCAATAGAGTTATTTTTTTTAATACAATTAGAAATTAGAACTTTAAACCTTTTAGGGGTAAATAAAATCTTTAGTTACACTCTTTCAAGAAAAATAATTTTTATTCAGTGTAACACTGACTTACAATGTTAAAATATATTTAAAGCTATATATATATATATATATTATGAGAATGATTTTAAATATGTGTCAATTATTACTGATTTAAATTAATCTAAATTTATATTTGCTAAATTAGTTGGTTTTTACCCATACAACTTTAAAAAAAATATATGATTTTCTTCTTCTTCTTTTTTTAGTACTCAAAAATATGAATTGATGTATGGTAGTCTAAAAAGCTAATAACGACAAGACTAAAACCAATTTGGTTTATTTGCCGTATATTTTTAAAACATACCTGAAATTAAAAATTAAAAGACTAATAATAATAATAATAATAATAATAATAATAATAATAATGCAAATTGTGTGCTCGAGATAATCTTTTATAAATGTCAATTTTTGTTTAAATGCTTAGACATACTTGAAGGTCGTATTTTTCCCTAATTACCTGTAAATAATATACAAATAAATTGATAGTATATAAATAAATATTTGTTATGATAATTTTTTTTTAATGCTATTATATCAAAATTGAAACAAAGGACTACTGTTAGCCCTTTTTTAAGGTTGGTGTTAGTGGATTGATAATTCATTATTGTCAATTAAAATAAAGTATTTAACCTATAATTAATCTATTTAATTCCAAAACTTTAGTTCAATTCAAGGACAAAATTGGGATATCAAATTTTTTTGTAATGGCAGTAATCATAGTTACATAAAAGTACTAACTTTAAATCATTCAACTTTTGATTTATCTTATCTCAATCTTTCACCTTTCAAGAAATAATAATTTCGATATTGGTTTTTGCATTATCCCATTCTCATCTACATTTTTTTAATAATACTACTTTAACTTCATCCTTATTTTATTTTTAATACAAATTTTAGTTTTTTAATTTTTTTTTTCTAGTATACATGTAAATCGAACTCATAATTTTTGTGCATTAACCAGTTAAGTTATGTTCAGATTGACTTTCCATCGAGACATATTTTAAATTTAATATTTACCTCAAACCACATAAATATATATGTTTAAAATTACTTATCTATTTATTTATTAGACAATTGATGTTAGTCCATTCAAATGTAGTTAGTAGGTATAATATCTATATCCTTCTTAATCTAAAAAGTTGATCTCACACCTCAGGTAGGTTAACTAAGAAAAATAATTAATTTAATAATTTTTTTTAGTTCAACGACAATAAATTAATAAAGTCAACAAAAATTAGTTACTATAAAAAATTATAATGACCCTAGCTCTAGGGATATTTTAAAACCTAAACGGTTAAAATTAAAATAAATATAGAAAACAGTGAAATTTAAGGGAAAAAAGTATTAAATTATAAAATTGGTCCTGTGATTTGAGTTAAATTATAATTTAGTCTAAATAATTTAAAATATTTTCATTGCCTACCTATAATTTAAAATGTTTTCATTTCCTGAAAAAGTCTCTTAATCACAATATATTTTACTCCATTTTAAATCATCGAAATATGTGCTTTAACCTATTTAGGTTGGCAAAACTCCAATACAATTCACCAAGACAATCAACTAAATCGAGAACATCAATACATTGTCATATAAATAAAACAATATATCATATATAAAATACGACAACGATGAGAATGATCTTAGATATTTAACCAACCACTAAAATCAAATTAAGTATAGTTCAACTGATTAAAAGGTATATCTTGACCAAAGAATAGTATATTCCAATTCCGACCCTCCAGGGCAGTGTGGCAAAAGCACAGCATGGGAAATCCCTGAGTTTTCATGCCATTTCCTATTCCTACTGAAAGAAAGAATGGATTGGCAAACTTTTCCATAGGAAAACTGAAGAAGCAGCACCACCATTTTTTGTGAAAACGAAACCAAAAATCACATGCCACCGCTAGCCAGCTTCTCCTTGATTCCCAGTTCAAACCCATTATAAATTCCCTCAAATTAACCTAATTCTCTGCTCCCCACTGACCCCATCAGACGTAAACAAGAAAATTTTTGGTGGGTTTCATAAATAATATTCAACCCCAGTTTCCAAAGCCTCCCTCTCTCTCTCTAAAATCCACCGTTCTTGAGTTTTTCGCACGCAGCCTTAAGATTGTCGCCATCCCATTTGATCCCTTTATAATATTCCATTTCAAAAATAGTTTTTTTCTCTGTTTCTGTTCATGGGTCGGTCTGTTTGATCGCTTTTTTTAAAAGGGTTTTTGTTGGGTTCAAAAGTCGTAGCCTTCTTGTCCCTTTGGAGTCGTGAAAGCCAGTTCGTTTCACGGCTCTTGAGTTTTGTGATCTGTTTTTTAAGATTTTTTCTTTGCTTTGCTGATCTGATTGCTCGAACCCAGAAGGTCGATCGTTGATTTGTGGTGTTTTTTTCGTTGGAAGTTTGTGAAACCCAGTTGGATTTTTGCTTATAAACAAGTGAATTTTTCGACCATGATCTGCGCTGTGAAACAATCTCCTAGGGCTGTTAATTGCTCTGATGGGTTCATTCGGAGAAAAATCTCGGTCCCCTCTCAGCGATCCTCGTTTCTTCCTCCTCTACCGGTGCAAAAACCTGCTCGAAATTCCGCTGTTTCCGTTCAGAAGGCTTTACACGTTTCTTCGCTTGAGAATTTTGGATCACTGGGAGTTCGTAAAGCTAATTTGATCAAATGCGAAGCTTACGAGGCCGAGCGATCGCAGCCGATCGAATCGAGCATTGAGTTGCCGCAGAGTCAGGTCCCTTCCGAGGCCGCGAAGAAGGTGAAAATAGGATCGTATTTCGCTCTCTGGTGGGCTTTGAACGTCGTCTTCAATATCTACAACAAGAAAGTTCTGAACGCGTATCCATATCCATGGCTGACCTCGACCCTGTCGCTTGCCGCTGGATCTCTGATCATGTTGATCTCGTGGATGACGAAAATTGCTGAGGCGCCCAAAACCGATTTCGATTTTTGGAAGTCTTTGTTTCCTGTAAGTTGTCCTAGCATGATTTGTTTGGTTGATGGGAAACGTTTGACAAAGAAGACAAAAGAGATAGAAGTTTCTTATTTGTTACGTTGTGGTTTTTAATGGGTTGATTTTTCAGCCACTGAAAAACACTTCCCGGCCGAGGATAAAGCTTAGGATAGGGAAAGCAAACCGAATTAAGAAATTACAAAAGAAAATTATATATATAGAGTGTAGTTGAAAATATTACGTTACACTCAAAATCTTAATCTGCATTTTTTTAATTTCTATTTTCGTTCTAATAGATTGAGTGGATAGACTAGAGATTCTCTGAGTTTTAGTATTTGCGAATTATATACTTTTTTAGAATCAGTTTCTTTGTTGTAGATAATTTTAATGTTTGTATCTGCTGATGTTGATGTTGTTGTTTGTTTTAAGGTTGCTGTTGCCCATACAATTGGACATGTTGCTGCAACTGTGAGCATGTCAAAGGTTGCAGTTTCATTCACTCACATCATCAAGAGTGGCGAGCCTGCTTTTAGCGTATTGGTTTCAAGGTTCTTGTTGGGCGAGACCTTCCCGCTTCCTGTCTACTTGTCGCTTCTCCCAATTATCGGCGGGTGCGCTCTCGCTGCTGTCACCGAGCTCAACTTTAACATGATTGGTATAGCTAAATTTGGCCTCTCCTTATAAAAAATTATAGTTGTGAGAAATTTTAGGAGTTTTAGTTTCTTTTCAAGTTTATTTATGCATGACCTTAACCACACTAGCGCAAAAAAGTTCCCATCATACAGATATAATAGTTTCAAATGTTTAATTGCTTGGTTTGCATTCTTTTAGTTAAGTCTGCTTTATCTCTCAAATCTCACAACTTCAAGTTGATATGTTACTGCAATCTATTTTAAAATTTGTTTGTTGCTGACATTGATTTGTCTTACTGAAGAATGTTGTTCTCTCCTATGGTTTTTATTCCTTCAGGTTTCATGGGGGCCATGATATCGAACTTGGCATTTGTATTCCGTAACATATTCTCGAAGAGAGGCATGAAGGGAAAATCTGTTAGCGGGATGAACTACTATGCATGTTTATCGATTTTGTCTTTGTTAATCCTGACGCCATTTGCATTTGCTGTGGAGGGACCACAGTTATGGGCTGCTGGGTGGCAAACGGCAGTATCTCAAATTGGACCTCATTTTGTTTGGTAATTAGATTATCTCATAGCATTCACATCGTATGAGAAGTTTTGAACAAATGATTGATCTAATTTATTTATATTCTCTCCATGTCTGATAGCCCACATGATAATTGTTCTGTTTAATTAAATCAATATATTACATGATATTATTTTGAGCATTGTACTTTATTAAGGGAAAACCATGCTGATTAGTCTTGGAGTGTATTGCATATGGGATATACTAACTTGTTATGCAACTGAGATAGAAGGTATCACCTCGACCTCGGTCAATTTCATGCTAGGGGATGTCCTTAACAGTTGTTCAAACAACAATTTGTCAAAATGATCATTTGAATCCTAACTATATATAACCAGAGACCACCAGTAGTTTCAGTAGCTAAGAAATGAACCCTATGCCAAATCTCATAATAAGTTTAGCAAATTTTGACTCCTTATGAAGTAATAAACATGGATTTTTCTAGAATAAGTTCGAAAAGGATATAAGAGTTTCTTATTATGCAACTTTAATTTAGTAAGTTTCATGGTGTTTGTCATTTCATGAACTTGTAGCTCTCTAATGGAAACCATCAGTTTGTATTATGTTCTGTTTACTGAAATTTGAAATTATATGAATAATAGGTGGGTTGCAGCACAAAGTATATTCTACCATCTCTATAACCAGGTGTCTTACATGTCCTTGGATGAGATTTCTCCCTTGACGTTTAGCATCGGAAACACCATGAAACGTATATCGGTCATAGTTTCTTCCATCATCATCTTCCGCACACCTGTGCAGCCTGTCAACGCTCTTGGAGCTGCCATTGCAGTTCTCGGAACCTTTATATATTCGCAGGTGATGATTCCTTGTCTCTCCTTGATTATTCTTCCTAGTTTCTTCGGTAAATCTATTTGAAGACAATCTATTGGTCCAAATTTATTGTCTCTTAAGGATAAGATAAGATTTGTGTTTGCATTTGTCCACACCTCCCCCCCACAAAAAAATATATTATATATAATAATGATAATAAAGAAAAGGGGTAAAAAAATAAAGAAAGACTGCCATATCTCTGATATGTACATCTGCTTGTCACAAGATAAGGAACTTGTCCTGTTCAAATGGGGGTGGAGGTTTGAATCTCCAACTTTTTGGTCAACGATATATGCTTTTGGCTAAAAAAACTCGTTATTTGTTCACACTTATTCTTGAATTCTGACTCGGAATGAAAAATGTTGAAGAAGGATATTTTATTTATCTTTTACAGGTTGCAACAAGATTGAACATGTATCTGTCCACATATTTTTTCTTCCCTCCTTGAAAAGAGAGTTTATATTAGCTTCTTTAATCAATTCTTTACATCAGACTGAATCCATCAAATTGAGAAATATGCTTATACTTGGTTCCTCTCTTGAATGAGAATGAGAGAGAGACTATCTGAATCAATAGCAATTAGTTTGACCAAATCCTTCTCTCTGTTTGCAGGCAAAGCAATGAAATGAGGAGAGAAAAGCAACGAACTACGAACCACGTACTTAGGTCTATGATAATGTAACATTAATGTATCGGCGAGGGTGGTGTGTCCCATATTACTCTCGAGGCAAGGAAAAAACAAAAAAACGAAGGCGAAGAAAGAGCCAAAGAGGCGGTTTCGGTACATCTAAGACTGAACATTTTTATTGTAATGAAAACAGGAGGAAGCTGTCTTGTTGTAGATAGAATAAATAATGTTTAGGTTGATAAGTTTTCTACATAGGTGGGGTAAGTCAAGTTTTTTTTTTTTTTTAATTTAAAAAGTTATTAAGCATTTTGGAGGTTCTTTGTTTTAGAAGATGAGATGAGGGGAAGAGAATGGAAAGAGGGAAATGATTTGAATAGGGAATAATGACAGGAGAACATCTTGTCTTTGTCTGGGTTGCCTATTTGATTATGAATCATAAATTACAATGTGGACCTCTCTGCTTTTGCCTTAAAGTTTCACATGGTGAGAAAGTTGAGGTGGTTGGCTCTTGTTCATGGCATCATCTTCTTTGGTTATTCCCCTCCAACTTGGCCATAGGCTGCTCCTTGATATTTCCTTTTCCCGCGAACCCGCCCGAAACAGGTCGGGTCCCATCCCTGTCACCTAAGTGGGGACGGAAAATATGTTCTCCATCCTTGCCTTGTTTACTTTTCCTATCTATTTAAAAAACTCTAACAAGGCTCTTAATTATGTTCAGCCACCAACCCCGTCGCAATTTCCTCTCTTGGCTCCTATCTTGACACTTACTTCTCTTACTCAACCTTCGGCTTCTTAAGAAATTTAACAAATTTTCTTTTTGGACAGAGATTCTTCCTGAGAATTTAACCATTCAAATGAATATAAGAGAGTTAACTTTTAAATTAAAATTTCTTAAAAAAATAAATAAACTGAGAATAATTCTCTATAGAACTCGTAACTTGCGGATCTCCGTCCCCACCTCGATAAGACTCCTACCCACTTCTCGTGTCTTCTCCTTCGCCTACTCTCAACTCTCTCTCTCTCTCTCTCTCTCTCTGTGATTGTGTCTGCTCACACGTGTGAGGGTGGATGCTATATATATATATATATATATGTAAGCAAGCATATTTGAAAAGATATGTGGTGGAATGGGGAATTGCCCTTCTATGTATGACTTTTAAGTTAAAATGAAAATTGACCAAACAGTCCAATGTAGGACCACTTTGGTTCTACCAATTCAGATTGAGTGGCCCAAATCTGAATTCTCAATATACCTAACATCAAAGATTAAGAGTCACAAGTTGAGTTAAAGTTTGTATAATTGGAATTAAGAAACCAAGTCTTATTTTTTTTATTAATATGAGTTTGTTTTGTCAAACTCGATTTATTAAACTCACTTTTTATTTTACTAATCACATAGATTACACAAATTCATGTGCCTATAACTTTCTCTATAAAAACCTGTGAGCTTAAATATCCAATAACAAGAAGATCCAGAAATGGTCAAAATCTATCTTCATAAGGCTTCTCAGACCATTCCTGCCAGAATATATTTCAAAACCCAGACTTGACTTGGATAAATACAACACGATAGTTTATCTTTAAAAAAGAGAAAAAAAAAAGAAAAAAAAAACAGGGGACTTCGGTTTCGTTTGCAATCTTCATTGTCCTTCAAGCTCAGATTGGATCTCATTGAAAAACAACTCAATTCAGACGAGGCTTCCAAGTGAGAAGGGAGAATGAGCTTTAGTTTTGCTGATATTGGCAGTAGTGAGCGATATCAAACTTGCAAATACTTGATCGCTGTGTGAACGTCCTTATCCCCTCTGCCACTGCAGTTAAGCACGACCTTCGTCCCGTCTGGGAGGGTCGGGCATAGCTTCTCGAGATAAGCCAAAGCATGAGATGTCTCCAGAGCTGGGATTATGCCCTCTAATCGTGACAACCTCTTGAAAGCTGCAGTCAAGCGACAAGCCAGATTATGAATTTAGCCATGAGAAAAATAAGCAACTAAAAATGGTGGAAAACTCGGCAAGCACCGATATATTGGCACAAATGCCATTGTCCCACTAGTTACTAGACTACTAGTTGAATGACTTTGACTGAAGTCCAGTTCCAATTGGATTTACAATTTTCCAAGACAGTTCGTGTTGATTTAAAATGACACTTCCAATTAATCAAGTTGAGACAAATGCAAAGAACAGAAACCTTCCCAAGACCAACCCCATTATCAAGATCAAGACCTATCTGTTACCACATAGGTCCTATGCCAGAAAAATATGTATTTGACTATTTGGAACTTCATGAAAGAACAGATCATTTCTCCTAATGAACCCAAAAAACCTGAAGAAAGCCAAGATATTCAGTCATAGATGTGTATTTGCTGGTCCAAGGTTTACAGAATTGGAAAGGATTGAAAAGAATGCAGAGCGGTTTCCACCTAAAACGTGGATGAGAATAGAAAGAAAGAAAACTGTTGAACAGAGCAGAGGAAACTGACTGTAGCAGATAAGTTTCAAAACATTACCCCGAAAGATATTGTATCATTTTCAAAATAGGGATGAACTATCTAACAAAAAATATGAAGAAAAGAACATAATGCAATCCAGTACCTTCCAGTGCTTCATCATCAGTGACACTGTAATACTCAGCTCGGCCTAGATCTTTCAAATAGCTATGCTCTGGTCCAACCCCAGGGTAATCCAAACTACAGACCATAAAGAAGAAAATATGCATAAGAGTTAGAAAGAATAAATATTTGAACAACGGGCTAAAAAGAGAACAAAGTATATCCCCTACCCAGCACTGATCGAATGAGGTTCAATTATTTGGCCATCATCATCCTGTAATAAATAACTCATTGCTCCATGTAGAACTCCAATTTCCCCTTTGGTTAGGGTTGCTGCATGCTTACCACTATCCAAGCCAAAACCTGCAGCCTCCACACCAACCAACCTAACATCTTTGTCACCAACGAACTCATGGAATAGTCCCATAGCATTTGAACCTCCACCAACACATGCTACTAGAACATCTGGCTTCCCTCCCCACTTCTCCAAGGCCTGTTTTCTAGTTTCTTTACCAATCACAGCATGAAAATCTCTTACCATCATGGGATATGGATGGGGCCCAGCAACAGATCCTAAGATGTAATGGGTAGTCTCAACATTAGTCACCCAGTCCCTTATAGCTTCTGAAGTAGCATCCTTCAGTGTGGCAGTACCAGAATGAACTGGCTTAACCTGCAAAGCAAGTGAAATTTATAATTTGATTATTCATCATTAGCTGTAAATAGCCAAGGATTACTGATCAAACAAGAAAAGAGAAATCATTTGAACCCTATGAGGCAGGTACTACATGTATCAACGGAAACACCTCAGATGAGTTCCAAGTCCAACTATGGATCAAGTGTTAGGATAAACCTTTTTATTGCCAGATGCTGATTGTTGAAAAGTCTCGGAAAAAATATAAATGCTGACACCATACTGCAAAACTATCTTTACCAACAATCATGGGAAGATTAGCAACAAACTGCATACAAGCCATACAGCTTCCTTGACTAAATTAGTGGCACTTCAAATCATATTCATAATTTCATATCTAAGGATGGGTTCAATCAATAACTTCAGGGTGTGATAACTAGCAGTGAAAAAGGAAAAAAAAAACTAAACAGGATGTTGGACTATTTGCAGTGATGCATCATATAACATGGTAAAAAAGACAATCAGCCAGGGGAATAAAAAGGAATTCTTCACACTCCTGCTGTATTGAGGACCCTAATTCTCTAACATAACAAGATATCCACAGATTGGAAGGTGTGACACTGATCGTGATCCTCCAACTCAAATAATATAGCTGCAAATTAACGATGAGTTGGGACAAATAAACAAAACCATAATGGACAAACCTCAGCCCCAAGAAGCCGCATTCTGAACACATTGAGAGCTTGTCTTTCCATATCTTGTGCGCCCATGTAGATGATACATTCTAGTCCAAACCTAGCACAAACAGTTGCAGTTGCAACTCCATGCTGACCTGCGCCTGTTTCAGCTATGATCCGTTTCTTTCCCAAACGCTTGGCAAGCAAGGCTTGGGCAACAGCATTATTAATTTTGTGAGCCCCTGTGTGGTTAAGATCTTCTCTCTTCAGGAAAATGTGAGGCCCCTCACCATTGGGACGCCTATAGTGCTCAGTCAGCCTCTCTGCAAAGTATAGAGGGCTCTCTCTCCCCACGTAGTCTCTCAAAATCCCATCTAGCTCTTTCTGAAGATTAAAAGCCAGTTTCAAAGAAAGGGTGAAAAAATAACAAATACCGCTGTGCTTCAAATCATATTAAAAATCATTTCTAAAACGATTATATCAAGTGGAAGAATAATTGAACGAGTTACGTTACAAAAAATTTATCCTTCAAGTTCACTAATGAGTTAAAAATGAATCAATTCAACTGTTAATCTTCGTGCACATTGTTATTTCTTCCCTTTTGCAAAAATCCACATTGTTCCTAAGAACCACACTACATCGAAACAATCTTTCACAAGAATTGTTTATTAATCTTTTCAAGAAACATCGAACTCATTTTCATGTAGTCAACTAAAGTCAAATAAGCATTCACTGAGATTCTAATTCAGCAAGTGAAACCAAAACAAAGAAAATCTTCACAAAATTAAGCTCACTACATCACCAAACAAGACAAAGAACCCAAAACGAAAATGGCACAGCTGTAGATAAAAGAAGAAACTGGTCAAAAACCTGAAATTCCTGGTCCCCAGCAAGCGAATGGAAAGCAGCCTCGAGCTGGGTGAGGGCATGCATAAGGGTTTCGGGGACATACTTCCCCCCAAATCGGCCGAATCGCCCGAACGAATCGGGTCTCTGGGTCTGGGTCTTGTCCTCCATTGCCAGAGACGGCTGCGTGGTCAAAGTGCAGGAGACGCCGCACCGCCGGGCGGCCGGAGATGGATACGACGCCGCTCGCCGGAAACGGAGCGGCAAACGCGAGAAAGAAGAAGAAATTTCGGAGTTGGAATGAGAAGACGACGGCGAAACCGTGGGGATTTTGCAGTTCAACGCTGTGAAGGCAACCATTTCTAGAGAGAGAAAGAGGAGAGAGAGAAAAAAATTTCTTTTTCTTTTAATTTTATTTTTCTTGTGGTTTTTTTTGGGAGTCCATATTATGGATTTATAGGTGCCGCTCGCTGTTTCGAACTTTCGAGTTTCGGTACTAATTTTCTGTTTTTTAAAAAATTTTCAGTTTAATATTTTACAATTTTTAGTTAAAAGTTTTTGCTAGTCAGTCCCTCGTATTACCTTCTTTTTATTTTAGTCCTTAAATTTTTAGGTATTTTTGGTCAATTTTAGCCTTTTAGTTAAAAAAGGGTAGAGTAGTAAAGAAATCAAACCTTCAACCTTAAATGAATATATTAGGCGTCTTATCCCTTATGTTCGTATATATAATATATATATATATATTTTTAAATATTGTTTTGGTTCAATTTGGTGTTTATATTTTCAAAATATCTATTTTAGTCCTTGTATTTTCAACTTTTATTTATTTAGTCCATATACTTTAAAAACGTTCACTATGGTCTTTGCATTTTAAAAAGTGGTCATCTTGATCCCTTCATTTTCGTTTTATCTAATTTCATTGGATCATAATTTTAGCATTATTTTTATATACTTTAGAATTGTCAATTATGGTTTTCACTCTTATTGTGTATAAAATTTTTGTTAAAAGTCCTACAAATAAAAAGATCAAATTGGTCACTATTAAAAAATTATAGGTACTAAAATGAACATTTTGAAGAGCTTCCTCCAACTCGGACGCTGGTCGAGCCTGTTGGATCTTCCTATCCCGTAGCGGTTGTCAACGAGAGGGCTTCTGTCTAGCTTACGTTCGAGTTCCTGGGTGGTCGTAGAGAAGGAAGATGGGTAACATCAGGCTAAGAGAGGGCTATCAAAAGACCTAACATGCTGTTTGCTAGATAAGAATCCCATAGAGACGGCTAATCGGGCGTAGATCTGAACGAGAAGGCTGATGCGTTATAGGTACTAAAATGAACATTTTGAAAATACACATAGTTATGTGAATAAAAGTCTAAACTACAAAGACCAAAATTAACGTTTTAAAAATACATGGACTAAAAGGAATCAAAGTCAAAATTATAGGTACCAAAATGAACTTTTTTTAGTTCAACAATTGTGGAGGCGATGAATCAAACTATTGACCTTGCCAAAACGAGCATAACTCAGCGGTAATCGATATATATCTCTAACCAAGAGATTGAGAATTCAATCTCCTACCCTCACAAGTTATACTAAAAAAAATCAAATCATTAACCTTTAAATAGCAATGAGTATCGTATTTATTAAGCTATACTTAGATCAACACATTAATAACTTCTCTTAAAGTTTGATCTACACGTGACTTTTATTTGTAGAGTTATAATATTATGACAACTTAAATTTCGTTTAACCCGTTCGATACACGTGACTTAAAACATAAATTCATATCGCATTCACACTGAGGATATTAAGTACAATACACAAATTTATGAACAAAACAAAATTTTATATAAAGTTCAATAATTAACAATTAACATGCATTTTTATGATATGAGACTATTCTTTTAGATTACCATACTTGTAATGATCAAACCTTGCACCATAATTTTAAGCTTCTAGTTTGTCAAATTGTATTGAAAGAAATTACTTATTTAGGATGGGAGGAGAAATCTAAAAAGAAATTTGCAAAAGATGAGGGGGCTAAAAGCAAAATAAGTCAAAATCCAGACACTGCAATAAAAATATATAAAACAATGGCCTAAAAAGGTATGTAATAAAAAACTACAGTTTTTTTGTTTTTTCTTGGATTTCAGTTTCCTTTTATTATGTGCCCATCTCTAGCTGTTATTTTCGTCCTTCTATGTACAAAACAACGACGTCGTATTAAATTCTAGACCACTCCGCGAGCGAAGAGTGCCACGTCACCAATATAAGCATAGTTAACAATATTGACATCTACTTTTTTCTGGTCGAAGGTTCAAATTCTCGTACCTTCAATTTACCGTAAAAAGAATAAATAAAAAAAAGACCAGTTTTACTATTGTATTTAGTTTGGTAGGTGAGTTTGTTTGAATAAACTGATCATAATTAATACCTTTCCAAATTTAAAAATTCGTTCACGAACCCATCTAATAAGTCGCATAAAATTCAACTAACAAAACATTTTAAATTAAGTTATAAAAATATCATAACTTGGCTGTGAGAATGTTAAAAATCCAAGAATGTAGAAACTTATCCGGCCTAAAAAGTAAAAAAGAAGGAAAAAAAAAGTATCTAGCAAGATCAAAATAATCAATACGTACAAAATTAGTCTTGTTTGACTTTAAACGTGCCCAAATTTTTTTAGAAAAATATAGTCGAGGAGTTAGGAGCCCCACTCCTCGTACTTTGCAGATACCCGCCCCAATAATGTCTAGTAGACAACTATAGTTTTTTCTTCTCTTCCTCACTTCTTACCATCGAAACCGTCTTAGTGGGTAACATGTTCAACAAATTTTATTTCAATTTAATGTTTTATTTGACAAATTTAAAACTTTAAGGCCTAAACATAGAGGGAAAAAATGAACTCAATTTCTTGATCTTGTTATCTTTAAAAAGGGAGTAATAGAGTAGGGCACTCTTTTGTCATTCATGTTCATATTTTTCCTCACATGGCTAATTTCAATTGCCAACGTGCCAAAAACATTTAGAGGATAATAATAGCCTAAATTGGGACATTTAATTTAATGATATTTACCTCTTTTAATCTAAAAAAGCACATGCTAAGAAGTTGGACGAGCCAAATTACGTGCCAAACTTCATTAGTGCATAGAGATGTATTTCGTAAGTCTAAGTTTATGTAATTTGTATCTGATTTATATATGTGCGATTTAAAAAATGTAATCTATAGTCAAAGAAGTGAGTTCGAGAGGCTTGAAGTAGTAAAGCTAATGAACTTAGCAAATTTGGTAGGCTGAGAAAAACGATCCCACATATAAATGTGAATGTAGACTTCTAAATTATAAGTTATTAGTTAGTGATGTAAATGTAGTATTATTTGGACCAAACCTTCTAAAAGGCATTCTTTTAATTTAATTGTCCTGCTTAGGCTACATGTTCTGTTTACATGCTATTAAGTCGGTACACAAGATCTTATGTTAGGACTTGTCTCGCACTTAGTCACTCGTGGAATTCGAATAGGAGGCAACAAGTCTTTTTCTTAAAAAACTCGTACTTGATATTATTAGAAATACCCAGACAATATCATATTTGTAAAGTAAAAACATAAACGGACTCCTATCAATGTGGAAAATATACCGTACTGAGTATATAGAAATCTTTTAGGTTATATTCAATTTGATCTTTAATCTTTTAGGGTTCGTTTGGTAACGTTCATGTTTCTTGTTTCTCATTTTTGTAGAAACGTTCTAAAAATTATATAAAAGTTTTGGAAACAACAAAAATAAATCTTTTGTTTCTTGTTCCCATTTTTAATTTGTTCCAAAACATAAATAAAGATATAGTTTTATCATTCTTAAATTGTTCTTCGACCCTTTAAATCTTCAATTCTACTCCTAATGTATAAATAAAATCTCAATTAGGTCATCCTATAAATTATTAAAATTTATTAATAAAAAAAGTCGATGCATCACTCAATTATTCTTCTATCAAATATTTGGACACGTAACTATCTTACTTGAATGCTGATACATAAAATATCACTCACCTGCCATCAATAAAATCCATCCTGCTCATCAACAAAATTAATTTCTTCCTATATAGTCGCTCACTTGTCCAATACATTAAGAAACAATAATTTAACAATACATGGCTTTTCCATTTAACAAATTTTAATACTTTTTTTACGGTAATACTTAATTGATAATTTTTAATACATTAAAAGTAGAAATTAAAAATGCTAAGGAACAAAGAAAAGCCAAAAAAAAAAAAAAAAGTACAAACAATTTGACATATTTAGCATCTAAATCAAAAGTCCTCTGAATGGGACCCACATGATCAAGGACGACCATAAATTTTGTGGGACCCTTCAGCAGTTTATGAGCTGCCTACGTGGCAGAATTTTGACCATGAGAAATAAAATAAAGTAGACGTATAATTATAAGATGAAAAAAATCCACGTACTATTCTCTCCATTTTAGTAAATTATACTCTCTTCACCAAAACGAGTATAGGTTATCGGTAATTGGTATATATCTCAGATTAAGAGGTTGTGAATTTTATTCATCAACCCTACACGTTGTACTAAAAAAAATTATACTCTTTTCCTCTTAAAATATACTCTCTTTCTTATTATTTTTTTACGTTCTATCTTCCTTTTTTTCTTTCATTTTTCCGTCTTCTATTATTTTTATTTAAATATTTTTACAATAAACTTCACATTTCCCTCTACATCACAATTCAATTCATTAGTAGATTTTTCTCTCTCTTAAACTAAATTTGTTCGTTCTTTTAGTTTAGAGAATATTTATAGTTCAGAATTCGTTATTGATATTTTATTTTTATTTAGAAATTTATTTTAAAATAATTAAAAATTATTTTTTTATTATAATTTGATTTTATTCGTTAACCATTTTGATATGTTATTTTTATTGTTAACTTGTTTGGTTCTATTTAATCAATATTATAATTAAATCTTATTTGTTACCCATTTATATATTCTTTTTTATTTGTAACTTAAACTTAAATAATGAAAATATTTTTTGTTTAATTTAAAATATTACAATTAAATTTTATTTGTTATCTATATACATTAAGAAATGGTAAACATTATTATATAAAACAAAAAATTAAATATTAAATATTTAACTGAACTATAAATTTTTTTTGAAGGGAGAAAAATATCCAAAAAAAATTCAAATAAAAATGTAGGATCTACTTTATTTTATTAAAAGTATAAATAAAGAATAGAGGAGCGATATGAAGGAGATAGAACGTGAATTTTCCTTTCATTTTAAAATCACGTGGGATCTTCTTTTATCTTATTTCTAAAATAAGATTAGACATGACATAATGTAAACGGGAGTAATATGAAAATCTTCCCGACTGGTGTGGTACTAGAAATTTTCCCATGACAGGCATTTTCTGTGTACCAATCATAGTTAATGTTTTTATTCTGAAAAGGTATGTACATTGAAACTTGTTAAAAATACAAAAACCAAAAAAGGACAAAAAAGTAAAATTCAGCTTTAGTAAAGATCATAGCTTAAAATTGACTTCATTTCCCTTGCACTGTGATGCTTTTAACAATGAGAAATTTGATTGGGTTTAGCGCTATGGTTTGGTTAAACTTCACTACATAAATTGCCTTATATTTCTTTTTTTAACTCTATTCTAATATAGCCAACTAATGCGATTAATTAAACAGAAGATCATCAATTTAATATCATGGACGATTTGTGAAATTTGATTAAATTATAGAAATCAAGTTTACAACTTTTAAAACTATACGGGCATCAAAACATGCATAATGTTGTGTCTCTTTCTTAGATTTAATTCCTCTACGTGGGTTTTGCTTTCTGAAGCTTTTTTTAATTACGAGTTAGGTGTCATTGACTTAGATTGGGGTCCTTTCTTGGTGGGGCTTATTTTTCGTGTGCTCCTGGTATATTATTTCATCTTTTTGGTCGTGGTTAAATAGTGGAAGAAAGTAGGTGTTTTCGCATTACAACTCGAGTTTTTGCCTCGCTCAAGTCTCTTTTTAAGACACATCTCTTGTAAATTGACAGTTGTCTGGTCTTCTTCTTCTCAAATTGCTCAAGTCAATCAATAGTGGCAAGCTCCTGTTTTCCCAACCTTGAATGAGGATTAAGGATTTAAAATTCATAATAGAGTAGGGCCATCAGCTTGAAGTGGATTAATCTCTAAAAAGGGAATGAAATTGAGTTCCAAGTTGCAAATTTGGGAGATGGTCTGATGTTGTTCTGAGGTTGGTCTGATGTTGTTCTATGCAATCTCAGAACCTTTGAATTTTTAAATTCTTTTCTATAAGACCATCACTTTGCCTACTTGGTCTGGAACAGTTTTCCTTCCGAGAAGTTTAATTTCAGCCTCGCTCGTCTTAGAGATGGTTGTGCACGGGTGGAAAAGTTGCTCACCTATTTCGCCATTCCAATATTAGAGGTGTTTTCCTTGGCTCGCCAAGGTTGATGGATGGAGAGAAACAGTAGAATTTTTAGACGGGTGAAGAGACCTTGATTAGAGTTCATGATGGATGGAGAGAAACAGTAGAATTTTTAGACGGGTGAAGAGACCTTGATTAGAGTTCATGTTTCTATTTAATAGTTGTCCTTCAGGACTTTTCCAAACGGATGGTTTTTTGTATGACCACATTTTTTGTTTGGCCTTTTATATTCTTTCCTTTTTTTCACTGAGAGCTTGCAGTAGTGTAGTCAACATCTCTTGAACTTCAAAACCGACACCCACGGGATTTCCCAAACTTCCTTCCAAGGTCTCTCGACCCCCTAAAAATTATGCTATTCCTCTCGAGCCACACACCCCTCAAAATATAACTAAAAAAATGGCAGGCTTCCTCTAGCCTCATGCTCAGAACTCTGGAGGAAACAAAGCATGGTACTCAATTCCAAAAAACTAAAAAAAAGAGGCGTTGAAGGACCCACTGTAACAATCTTATTTCTTGTTTCCATTTTTATTAAGAAATCTAAGCATTTAAAAAGTTATTATTTTTCTTGTTTCTCGTTTTTTAGAAACATTCTCAAAATTGTATAGAAATTTTGTAAACAACAAAAACAAGTTTCTTGTTTTTTGTTCTGTTTTCAAATTTGTTCCAACATAAAGAAAAATGTCGTTGTCTCATTCTTTCATCCATAGGGGTTGGGGGTCATGCAATTCTATTGATTTTTAATAAAAAAAAGAGGAAATAGAAACAAGAAACGGGAACGTTACCAAACGGCCTCAAACCCAACTACCTAAAGCCCAAACATCATCAAGAACTCTCCAAACCACCAAACGTTCTCTTATTTCCTCTAAAATATAAACTTCAAAAAAAAACCATCAACATCAAAAGAGCATTTTTCCCTTGCATCAATCTACAACCAAGCAACGTATATATTGGATCAAATAAATGATTACTAAAGGTCTTGAAAGTGCAGCTCATTGGTCTACAATTATCTATAAGATGCAGCAGCTAGTTAAGAGCAGTCAAAATTTTACTATTAGTAGACTTGAAAATAAGTCACTGTTCAACACATGCTTAGTAGGTTATATAGCATAAAAATATTTTCTTTGAGGGTATTGATCACAGAGATAAATCTAGAATGGTTTGCAAAGAACTCACGCCATCCTGATGATGGTAACATCTCCGAAGCCTCAACGAAACAGATCCCCCGCAAGATGAATCGACTGACACACTAAAATACATTTAACGCTTATCATCCAGCTGACTTCTCGTGCAACAGAACATATTCACGACTGCAGAAAAATAAAAAATAGAATAAAAATGTATGCAGTAAAAATTTCAGAGTGCATCAAGGACAAACCAGAGATAACAAAATTCAGCAGTATTTTTCAGATTCTCTTTACAGTAAGAATCTGCTTCATTTAGGACCAAATGACACTTCCTGTCATTGCTTTTAACAATTGAGCTCAATTACTTTAGGAACAAAAAGAGCTTGTTTAACAATATGATAAACTTGTAGTTTAGGTAAGATGTCGTATAGGTAAATAAATTATAGATTTAACAAGATGTTGCATGCACTGGAGAAAACTGTTTATCAACAAAACGGAAACGCTATCCAGTCTAAGTTGCCCATATCCGAGAAGATCTTTAAAACTACTTCCAATAATGAATCGGAAACATAAATTGTCTAAAATCTTACCTGCTATTGCCAAATCTCACAGTGTCTTTTTCAAAAAGTTCATAATAACGTTGGGGTTCAATTGCAGTGTCCTGCGATTGCAAAGAAATTATAATAGGAGTCACAGAATAAGTCATACATGAACTATCATATCAAAGTCATGAATTACAAAAAAATGGATGAAAAAGTTTAGCTTACATTGATATAAGTCTTATTTGTGCTTCCGAGATCCATTAAATAAGGCCTACCAATACAAGAATACATAAAAAAAGGCTCGCCATAGATTGAAAAAATTCATGTCACACTGATCACGGCTTATTCTTACCTTACTTGCTTTGACATCATACCATCAGATTGCTCCTTTTCTACTTGCCTATCAACATAACAAAACAAAATTGTTTTAAAGAAAATGGGGATTAGGGGCTATTCCATCAACATCAAGAAAACAGAACTCCGAACAAGAAATCAACCTAAACTGGATCACAGCATGTTGCTTGCTGCAGGACGGATGATCAGTAGGAATGTCTGCCACTCTTCTTTCTCTCCCAAAGAGGTAACAGCTTTCACGATGTATATAAAGAGGCTCTAAAATTTATTCTGATAAGTTAACAGCTTCAACATTCACATGAATGCAGAGGTTCTAAAAAGCATTCTGACACGTTAAAATCAAGAACTCGAGCATAAAGCAAAGAACTAATATTCCACTATTACAGTGCACATGATCTTTCTCTAATAGAGACTCCTTACTCCCTTTCATGCTCTTCCAAGGAGTAACCTCAGACCATGGATAAAATGTTCCAAACTTTTGCATCTAGCATGTTATAAAAAAACATGGCATCATTTCTTTCAACAATTCTTTGCTTATGAAATTTTATCCCAAATATTTTCACACAATTATAAATTTTCCTCTCATCCCTCACAACAAATTTTCAAAGAACAAAAATAAAAAGACGTTTTTGGACAATGATGCCCTTGTACTTCTATCGACCTAAATTTTAAAGTAAACAACTAAACATCAAATGTGAACTATAAATAATAAGTAGAAACCTATAGTTCACCCCCTCCCACTTCCCATCATACTCAAATAGGAAAGCTAATAAAAAATAGAGAACCAATCAGCAAATTAAACTGTCAGTGAGTTACAATGGTAACAAATCATATATCTTTTACTATGCAGAAGGAAAGAAACAATAGGATATGTATGCTTTCAGTTTGACTAGAGTATTAGACACATATATGATAGGCTTGTAACACCACAAATAGGAGTTTATTGCCTGCCCCATCACAATGGGGCCTTATCCACTACCCATTAACACCAAAAGATGAAACCACAAGTGGAAATATCAATGATAAATGAAGTCAAATCAACAACATGAATATATATATATTTTTTTTTTAAAGAAAGACTTACCATTCAAAACTTCCCCCGCCTTAAAAACATAAAGTCGCCATCTTACATCAGGTTTTCTAGCATCAGGAGGTTCATTGAACAGCAACGTAACACCTAATAAATGAAAGCAGAAAAGCTTCTGTAACTTGTCTCAATGCAGAGGATACGGTAAAAAATCACGATTCCATTTATACAGGACTAATTGCATAGGTATAGCTTCCCTACAACACTAGTTTAAAAGAGCTGGAGATATTCAATTATCTTACCTCTTACTCTATTAGTTTCTGCTGCAAGCTTTCCTGATAACTCAAAAGAAGGTTTGTCCTGCAAACAAAAACAAAAAAGATAACAAGATTCACATTCACTATACTAATGAGCTACAAACAACTGAAAGAAAATATTCCACACTGAAGACAGCTTATAGAATAAGAGTGCTGACAACAAATTACATGCTTTCCACCAAACATCTTATTATCAACAGCCTAGCAAGCAAGGTAAAACACACCTTCTGCTTAGCTTCTAAAGCTTCCTCAGCAGCTTTCATCTTTGCCACTGAATCATCCTCATCACTCCTGCTCATGCAAATAATCAGAACCTAATGAGAAGCTGCGAGGCAATAAATATAGATGATTCTCAGTACAAAAGAGGGAAAAGAATCTAAGACAGACAAGCAAATCTAAGAAAAAAGTTTGGTCCTATTCATCAACTACTAGAACTAATTTCACTATGCTTTCAGTTTTTCTTAATATATTCAGTAATTTGACTTGACGGGAAACTAGGCCAAGTTTAACCCAGGCTTCCCAACAATATCTAACAGATTCAGACAATAGTATGAGCTGTATGGTACATTAAAACTTAAAAGTTAAAACATGGGAGTTGCAATGGAAAATTAGTGAACTACTAAAATGAAGTGATACAAACTATTTTCAAGCAGAACATTATATATTAAAGTCTTAATAATATAAAATTGAGAAAATCAACATATGTTCAACATGGATCTCACCAGTCCAAATTCAGAAACGTGTCTTAACATTGTTCTTACTTCTTGTTTGGTCTGGAGGATTTCCAGTCTCCAGAGAACTTATGTTTTCCTTATAAAACCAAAAATTATATTAAAAGAAAATGTTGCAAAGGAAAGCAGCTCACCGGCTTTCAGCTCTTCTTGAATTTCTCACCTGGAAAGTTAGATGATAATTAGGTACCGCGTTCCATATAAACTTTAAACAAAGACAACTGCAACCACTTAAATAAAGAACATGCTAACTACACAAAAATACCTGATGCAGAATTTTCTTTGTTCCATAAAGATGGACAAAGAGAACAAATCATATGGACAAAAAAACCAAACAAAGAGGAAACAAATCACCAACAGAATTCAAGTAGTAAAGAAAATGAAAGTTGAACGCTACATGCTCTGCTAGAGAGGACACATTTATTTTACCTAACAAAAGTAATAATTGAATTTTTACAGAAGAAAAAAGGCAAAATGGGCTTATTTTACAATCATAAATTACGCATATATGGTAAACAGGCACTTAAGCGATCAAGTTTTGAGCAGTAGATATCACCAGACACCTCATCATGATTTCTGGCATCAGAGCCTGGCTGAGGTGATGGAGACCTATGGCGGCTCCTGTGGGGGCGTTCTGATGGAGAAGCAGAATGCCCATGTCTTGAACTGGAAGATTTTCCATCCTTAACATCCTGTCTAGAACTCCTCTCCTTTCTCTCACCTCCTAAGTCCCTATCAGAAGCTCTTTCCCGATGAGCTTCTCTATCATTACCCCTGCCACGATTCCTTTCATGATCTCTATCACTAGCTTTTTCAGGAGCTCTTTCAGCAGCTCTCCTCAACCGTTTTGTCCTTGGAGAAGGAGATCGAGGTCGTGGAGAAGTTGACCTCCCATGCTTTGGAGATTTAGCACGACTAGAATGCTTGTCTCTTGCTGGAGAACTGCCGTTATGGGAGCTTTTATGCCTCGTAGGTGATCTTCCTCTCCGGGACGGGCTCCTTCTAGGAGAAGACCGCCGCACCCTAATTGGAGATTCTGAATCATCTGATACATTACGTCCCATTTGTTTTCTGAAAGACAACAACAGTGTACCAATCAAGTGAAGCTTCAATTCAGATGAATCTTTATTATTATTATTATTATTATTATTATTATTATTATTATTATTATTATTATCTTTTACATCCATGAACTAGTAAAATTGTGTCAAATACGCACAATCTACAATTTCAAAAGTTCAAATTTTAAGAATCATAATAATAATAATAAGAGACGCTTTCAATTTAATGGCTGTGGATAAAATAGAGCAAGAGCGAGAAGCTCGACTCTTCTAAATCAACAGATAAGCTGAAAACAAGCTCATTCGAGCTTCAATAAACTGATTGACAAAAATGAACTCTATTTTACAGGTTTCCAAATAAATCAAAATATCTGAAAATCATCCAACTAACAAAAATCGACGAAAAACTAAAGAACAAAACCATATAATCCGCGTAAAAAAAATTTCCGCCAAGTAGGATTTACCGAAACAAATTTCTCAAATGAGCAACTAAAAATCCAAAAAAAACATCCACATCCTCACATTCACGCCTAGGCGATCGCAAGAGTTCAAACACCTCTATTCCTTGAACAGGACAACAACATTTCCCGATTCTAGAGTCAATCGAGAGTTCAGTTTCCCTTGTAAAAATTAAATAGAATACATCACCATTCTCCGCAAAAATTGTGGCCGGAAAAGAAGTGGAGTAGTTCGCTTACCGGCTCCAATGTGGTGGAGAAAGTGAGAGCAAAACAGTAGCAACGATTCCGGCCCCGGGAGAGCTCTGTGGTCGGCGTTAGGGCTTAGCTTCGTCAGAGGAATTTCCCGTCGTGGGAAATCAGAACGGTGAGGGTTTAGGCGGCATTTTGGGGGTTTTCCATCTGATGTGGTCTGTAATTTTCTACCAGCCAATTGAAATGTGACACGTCGGAATAGAATAATCAGACAATGCTGTGTTTTTGTTGTTTTTTGGGCCAGAAACGTGGGCCGTTCCACTTTCTTTGTTTGGGCTGGCAGGGTGCTATGGGCTACATCATATTAGGCCCAAATAAGAAAAATGATTGGTCCATGTACTTTCAAACTCTCGTTCAGATTTCTGTAAAGGTTTATTTTAGTCCATTTTAATTTGGTTCAGTTCAGTCCATCTACTTTTAAACGTTTGTCTTGGTCCTGAGTGACTATTTAGGTTTTTTAATTTGAGGACAAAATACATTTTTTGTCCCTGAAGTTTGAGGTAGCTGTCTACTTGGTTCCTCAAGTTTCAAAATGAACATTTTTCGTCCCTGATATTTGAGGTAGCTGTCTATTTGGTCCCTAAAGTTTCAGAATGTATACTTTTGGTCCTTGAAGTTTAAATTAGGTGTCAATTAGTTCCTGAAGTTTTAAACTGAACACTTTTGGTCCTTAAAATTTGAGAAATAGTTCTAAATGATCCCTAATTTTTTTTACTATTATTAACTAATATTAAAATGACGTGGCAAATTGCAATTAAATTGTTTATTATAGTTGGTGATGTGGCAAATTATATTAATTAAATAATATATGTCCGATATGAATGACGGACGGCTGTAGCAAAGACGTGGTGGTCGTCGGAAAAGGGTAGGAGAAAGAGAGAGGAAGAGATGAGGAGATGGAAGAGAAAGTACCATCACCTACACATATATTATTTAATTAATATAATTTGTCGGGTCAGCAACTACAATAAATAATTCAATTGCAATTTACCATATCATTTTAATATTAGTTAATTAACAGTAAAAAAATCATGGATCATTTAGAACTATTTCTCAAATTTAAGGGACCAAAAGTGTTCATTTGAAAATTTCAAGGACCAAGTTGACACCTAATTGGACCAAACATGTTCATTTTGAAACTTCATGGACCAAGTAGACACGTACCTCAAACCTTAGGGACCAAAATTGTTCATTTTGAAACTTCAGGAAACAAATAGACACCTACCTCAAACTTCAGGGACCAAAAATGTATTTTGCCCTTAATTTTATTTTTAATCTTATTTTTTTTATTACGATTTCAACATGATACTACGTTCTATATATTTATCGAAATGTAACCATGACTTTATATTAATGAGTTTTCATTATGTGTAGAATTTGTTTTAAAGTTTTGAAAATATGGACCAAAATGATCACTTTTTAAAATTATATTGACAAAAAACGAATATTTTGTGAAAAGTGCGGAGACTAAAATGAACCAAAGTTGAGAGTACGGGAAGCAAAATGAATATTTTGAAGGTATGGGGACTAAAATAAATCAAAGTTAGAAAAATAAGGGACCAAAATAGTATTTTTTTTTTTTAATATTATCATTCATGGAGCATTTCATTTCATCTCTAACCATATTAAACTTTAAAAGGTATTATCTTATTTTATTTGAAAATCGATGGGAGAAGATAGACATGTAAAATAAGATACGGCAAGTATTTTTTTACTTTAAATTTGTAAATTTGTAATTTCACCTGAACTCCATTTTATAGATTAGGACACTATATTTTATCCAGTTGTCCATTTCCATCTACCGTGTTGACTAAATCAATATTGTTTACTAAAATATAGTCAATATTTATCTAGTAGACACGTTATGTGATTAGTGAACATCATTAACTACAATCACTATATAAATTCATAATTTAAAGTTTAATAATATAATTGTAGTTTTTAAAGTTTAATAAAGTCATAAATAGCATGTATCATTCAAAATCCAATCTTCCGCCAATGAACTTTCAATATCTACAAATTCAACCCTTAACTTAGATAAATATTGTAATTTTATCAGTTTCGCTAACTCGCCTAATAATTAAACAAAAAACAATGTAATAAAAACTCACTAATTTAATATAAACCATTCTCAAATTAAGTTTAATTAATGCACGAAGTGAATGATTAAATAATTCAGCTGGAAGTTATAAAACCCAATAAAAGAAAATTCACCTGCAATGTCGTTTTGTCTAAATGCTATCAATTTCGTACCAAATATATGTTTTATAATTATTTGACACACATGATGGGATTTGAACATCCGACTTCAAAGGAAGGAGTAGATGTCATTTACGATTGAACTAAACTTATGTTGACAATATTTTTCCATTATATTATATATATATGAATTTGTGTGACATACAATTCTAGATCTGTGTATTCATTGGTTGAACTAAAAAGAATCCTATTACTCATGGCCCACGGCCCATTTGATAATTATTTCGTTTTTGTTTTTATTATTATTATTATTATGTCGGTTTGCTCACAATTTCCTTAGTATGTTTTAAGATTTCTTAGAAACACATTTGAATTAAACCTAAAACTTCAAAAAGAAGTGAATTATTTCTAAATTTCTTAGAACCACATTTGAACTAATAGCCAAGTTTCAAAAAAAAAAAAAACTTTTTTTTTTCAAATTATAGCTTAGATTTTGAAAATGTTTTTTAAAAGTAATGAAAAAAAAATACGTATGGTTATCAAACATGACTTCAAGATTGAATTTGTAATTTAACCGTTTTGTCAAGTCACTCACACAATTACATGTAGCATGTATTATATTGTATGTAGCTCGAAGATTTAGCAAACTCGTGACTCGAAAGACTCAACTTCCAAATTTCAAACTACACCCGACCCAACCCGACCCAAATAGTTGGCCAAATATTGTTAAGGTTTCACCATAGCTTCAAGAAGAAGAAAGAGGAGACTTCCAAAACATCAAATCATATGTGAGTTTGCTTCTTCCATGGAAGATACCCCATGAGAATCTCTCAGTGCTGGCTTTTCATATCCTCCTAAGGCAAACAAATCTACTCTGTCATTGAGTAAAAACAAATCAGAGTATGATCTGTATTTTTTCTTCCTCTCTTCTTTCTTCTACAACAATCCGTTCATTTGGACCCCCCAAAGAAAAAGTTACAAATAAGATTTCAAATAACAAATCCCAACAGATCAAACCCAACTCATAATCTAACCTGTGGGGGAAAAAGTAAAAACAAAAATTTCTCCTTTTCTTCTACTTTCTTTGTTTTCTTTCTTTCTTTCTTTCTCTCTTTCGTGGGGGTTCTCGTGTTGTATGTACACCGGAATCGCGTGTAACAGAAGTTAGAAGTCAATGATCGGCTCACCGATGGTGAGATTCCGCTCGATGGACCACGGGACGTCGAAGAGCTTGGCGGCGATGAACTTGAAGATCTTGTTGACATTGATGTTGTGGATGGAGCTGGAGAAGAACAGAGTGGCCTTCATAACTCTTGCATAAGCTCTTGCCTGTGAACACAAAAACCACAATCAATCAAAGAAAAAAAGTTTGATGAACCAAAAAATGGGGTCCCTCAAAAGCTTAGATTACACACGGTTTCAATACCAAAAAGTCTTTGCCATTAAGCCAAAAAAAAGGGAAACAGTGCCATGTGATAAAAGAGAGAGGAGTTTATTCAAATGGAATTTTCAAGATGATGATTGATTTTACTTACCTGACTCACAATAGTCCACTGCAAATCTGGAGGAAGTCTAACAAAATCATCAAATTTGGTTCCTATCAGAATGGGAATGGCTGTCTGCAATAAACGAGAATCGACCCGAGAATTAATCTGAGGTTGTTTGGTAGTTGGTTTTGCAAAACAAGATTTAAGAATAGACTTAAAAGCGTGGGTCTCATGAATTGACCCACGGTTTTAATAGGTCTAGGTTTGAGAAACCTAGTTTCATAGACTTATGATTTGTAAAAGTTAGTATATAGTATGAAAGATCGAACAAATCTAGATACCAAAAACATAGACGAGACTTCTTCAACCCCAAGTTACGCGAGTATAATCTATGAACCAAACGCCTCCTAACTTATAAAAAGGTCAATATTTGAAGTTTGAGGTTATTATACAACTGAAGTTGAAGTTACCTGAATGTATTTTTATTAGATTCCTGTAACCTGAGTTAAAAAATCGAACCTATATTTAGCATGCAGTAATGGTCTGCTTATGTCAAATTAGGATCTCAAGCGATTTTGGTATTAAGCTCACCAGAAAGTTCGAAACCTCTAAACGACCAAAAGACCCTAAGTCCTTACCAACTAGGCTGCCCGGCACTAACTCAGAATTTCACAATCCAAATATGGGAACCAAACCTCGACTTGTTAGAACCGAGGGCCAAAACATCTCCTAAATAACAAACCATTTTCTTCAAAAACAAGTTAGGTGGTGGAGAAGTCATCTTTTAGCGGTTCATAAGTTCAAAAAAGCCTAACATCTCTTTCTCATCAATTCTCAGAGGACTTTTATCGATCACTTCGTGTGCTAAAAACTTTCACCCACAGCTGCCAAATGGGTTACTCATTATGAGCAATAAAAACCTCTTAATGATCAGATGATAAGTACAGCAAAATAGGAAAGAGAAAACAGTCCCAAATTGGGAATCAGAATCAAAATCAAAATCAAAAGCAAACCGAACCAACACTAATTTCACAGAGCGCCATCAATGGCGGAAAACGGAATAAAAAAATTTTACCTGGTTCCACTTCCTCGCTTCTGTATACCAATCAACAACACTGCAATGAACAAAAACACAAAACCAAATAAAAAAAATAAGCTCAAATTTCCCATTTCGAACGACAAGATTTTTCGCAGAACAGACCTGTTTAGAGTTCGCCGACTGGTAAGATCAAACATGAACAAGATTGCCACTGCATCTTTACAGGCCAACGGAAGATGATCCTGGGAGCTTCTGTCACCTTCATCGAACTATCGTATTAGAAATTTCTCTTCAGAAAGTCTCAAAACCCAGAAGGGAAAATGAATCAAATAAACAGGGGAGGTCTAATTTTACCCTTAACATCCCAAATACTGAACGAAATCAGAGCATTTTGGATACTCAGCGTCTTATTCATTAGGTTTATTCCTGTCATCTGCAAGCTTCTCCTCTCCTGTTCATCGCCCACGTACTTGATCTAATAAAAAAACGGAAGAACAAAAAAGGGTTTAGAAAAAGAGAGACTAAACTTTCTGATCGGAGGTGAAATAAGATTTTACCACGAAGCTTGTTTTTCCAATCTGGCAATCGCCCAACAGACTAATCTTCAGAGGAACCAAATCGTCGGAGTCGAAATCGGAATCGGAATGGAGCCCAGCACTGGTGGTCGGGTCGTCCGGCGAGAGGCCGGCGTCGGGGGGGGAGAGGCGGCGGTATTTACCGGGGGTCCGTCCTGAAGAGCAAACGAAAAGGCTGTCCCAAATGAGGCGGAAGAAGTGGCGGACGAGGGAGACCCGTTCGAGAAGTCTCCAGCGGACGAGTCGCCGGCAAAGCTTGGTCATGGCGGCGGCGGCGTCATGGGTCAGCTTGGCGGCGAAAAGGGAAGGGAGACGCCGGAGCTTGGCACCATGGTTTTCAATGGCGGCGTTTGGTTTGCTGCTGTTGTTCTTCTTCTTCTTCTGGTGCATTTGGCGCTTTTCCCAACAAATTTCTACGAAGCTAAAGTTGGAGACTGGACCAGCAACAAGAAGGGACAGTTGACCGGTTTTTTTGGTTCTTTTTATATTTAAAATCGACGTTTTAAATTTAAATCCCGTTTTAATTTTCCAGCTTTGCGTATTAGTTTTATTTAATACATTCTTTAATTTTAATAATATTAATTTTTAAAATGTTGATTTTGTTTTTCTACTTTTAAAAAGTTATCATTAGTCTATAATTATAAAATTAATACAAATTCTACGCATAACAGAGATATTTTAATATAAAGTCATTGTCACATTTTAAGAAATAAATTGAATGCATTGTCATATTGAAATTGTGATACAAAAAATTAAATTGAAAGTAAAAAAAAAAAGGGAAAAGTTAGTGCAACATGTGAGAGTTGGTATTCGAATTGAACCCACAATCTCTTGATTGAAAATAGATGATAATTATCACTCAGTTATGCTCAATCTGACGATTGAAAGTATAATTAAGGGATTAAAATGAACATTTTAAAGTATATAGATTAAAATGAAACAAAATTGAGAGCATAGAGACCAATATAATATTTTAGCAGTTTTAACAAATATCTAATAGGATTTTGACTCAATTTATTCAAACTTTTAAGTTTTTATTCATGACGGCTCTTATATATTTTACATATTTTTAAAATTAGATTAGATACAAAATTAAAATTTATTTTTAATAAGTCTTTAATTTAGTATTTGATTATTTGAGATTTTTTAAAATGAGAAGTTTTTCAGTGCAACAGTACATGAGAGGAGAGATTGAGATTTAACAAATATCTAATGACACGACTTATTACCATTTTTTTAAAAAAATGATAGAATGTACTACGTTAAAAAAATTTACAATTTATTTTTATTTTTTAGATTGAGATTGAGATTTAAATGTTGAATGAAAGGCTGATAGGAGTCCAAATCGCCGGCTGGTGTTGGAAACGCGACGTTTTGGTCAGTGTCTTGGCGCCGTGCAGGTGCAGTGAAGTCCATGCTTGAAAACACACACCTGACACAATTTGCACGCCTTTACTTTTTCAATTTTTATCAATTCTATTTTTATTTTCTATTTTTATTTACCACATTAGATATGTATCGACACGTCTCGATATTTCCATCAACATTTTTATATATTTATGTATTCGACGTCTACATAAAGGTAAATCAACATTTCCATCATATTACAAACAAAATTATTAAAGACCGAAAGTAAATTAAATTCTTTCATCATCTTTATTCAATAACATATGGACCTTGTATACAGGACCTCAAAATACAAAATACAGTAGTGTTATAGAAATAACATAACAAACTAACTACTTGTATAACAAGTCTAATAAAAATGGACAAAATATGATAAACATCAGCAAATGTTGTTGATATATATATATATATATATATATATATATATAAAATATTAATATTGACTATTTTCTAATTTATTTAGAAATTGAAATAATATTTTTTTATGATTTTTAAATTTCTATAACTTTTATAGGAAGATCTATCGACGTCGACATTTAAAACTTTGGTCTATATATTTTCAACTTTGTTTTTTCGATATATGTATTTCTGAAATGTCTATTTTAATCCATGTATTAGATTTTGTTCATTTTAGTTATTATATTTTCAAAGTATTCATTTCCGTCAATGCAGTTTAAAAAATATCAATTTTAGTCTTATTTGTAAAATTTTAACTCAAATGTCAGAAACTTTTTAATACAAATTTCTGCCTATATTTCAATAAATTTAGTGAATGAAGTTTGGTGCTAAAATTGTTAAAAAAATAATAAAATTAAAAATCAAGATATTCTCTCTTTTTTATTTTTAAATTACATAGATTAAAATAGATATTTTAAAACTACAAAAACTATGAGGAACAAAAATATAGAAATAATGACTAAAATGACCTTTTTAAAAGTAGAAGAACTAAAATAAATTGGGTTAGAATTATTTTTATAAATTTTCAACTCTTCTGATTAATATATATATTATTCTATTTAACGAGATTAGATGTTGGAATCCTATCCATGTATCCATGTATTGTTGAACTATTCCCGGTAAAAACATGAAGCATGGTCGAATATTAAACCTTAAAAGGAAAACCCCAGTTTTCATTGTCATGTCAAGTGTCACTTTTGGAAATGTACATTTTCACTAAAATTAATCATTTTCTTTGTTAAATTATAAATTTAATGTTTTGAAAAGATTTTTATTATTATTATTATTATTATGTCTATTTAGTCATAAGTCTCTAAATATTAAATTCTATGTTTAACAGGTATGTGTTGCTAGTTATTTTAGTTTAATAAATACTTAAAGCCTTACTAAAATTAATCTTTTGGATAATCTTTAAATAATAGAGTCAAATGTTGGAACTAACGTTGTGACTCAAAATTGAAAGTTTATGAATCTAGTTAGAGAATAAAATAAAATACAGTGACTAGATAGATATAGACTCGAAGTCTAAGGATTTAAACTTGTAACATTTACCTTTCTTAATTAAGGTACATCATTCAAAACCATCAAAACTATCGCGTTTTTTTAATATTCTGAATTAGTCGTCTCTCGAAAACTAAAGTATTGGTAGGAATACCAAGGGTTTGAATCTCTTTCCATCCAAGAAGTCATAAGTTTGCATTATTATAAATCGTGCTACGGTTTAGTTAGGACTTTGTCTAGTTCTTTAAAAAGTGGTATGTTTTTCGTTCCATCATGTAACTTTTTTTCGATAGCATTGAGAAACAAAAGTGATGATATATACCAAAAATAAATACATACATTCAAAATACGTTCTTTTATAATATTGCATTATGAACGAGGATGAGAGATATTCAGATATCTAACTCCATAATATACTAATATCTAACCGCTCGAACACTATATGGTAGAGTTGTTAGTTATAAATGCATTTGAATCACACTTTGACTATTACTCGACAATATTGGCTATTATTAGAGGATGAAAATGAAATTTACCAAATCAAATGAATGGAATTGATATTTATGGTCCACCCTTAAATCATTCATCCACTCAAAAACTTCTCTTCAATATGGTCATTTTTATGGCTTCGTTTGAAATAAGATTTAAATATTATTTTTATCTACTTACTTTGATTTTGGTTCATTTTAGACTAGGGTATTTTTAATTTTTGTTTATTTTAGTTATTGTAATGTACGTTTTGGTCTTGGTACTTTTAAAAGGTGACAAATAATTTGGTTCCTATTTACAAGAATTTAATACAAAGTTTTATTTAATACACATTTATGATTATATTTCAAGAAATCTAGTGAGTAATGAAGTATCGTGTTAAAATTATGATCGAAAAAAATAAGATAAAAATAAAAATAAATAGAATAAAATGGTCACATTTTGAAAAGTACAAAGACAAAATAAACAACGTTCGAAAATATATAGACTAAAATGAACAAAAATTGAAAGTACAAGAGACAAAATAGATATTTTAAAAATACGTAAACTAAAATGAAGGACAAATAAATTCAAAATATTCTATAAGGAAAAAAAAACCTAATTTAGAATCTATTCAAGAAATTATTGTTAAAAACTCCAACCAAGTAATATTTAAAAAAATAATATTATTGTTGATATTGAAATCAGTATTTATAAAAGCTAAATATTTTTTTTGATGCAAAACAAAAAAATTAAGAAAACCTAAAACATCGACTCCAACATAAATCCCCCGTCAACTTCTACATATTCAAATCAACTTGAAGATAAATTTAATTGGTTAAGACACTTATTTTCGAATCTCCACAATCACATATTATATTTTAAAAAAATCAAAAAATCGAAAAAATTTGAATGGTAATAAATTAAAGAATATTTATTTCAGAAAAATGGGTCAGCCTTACGAAAAAGTATTTAAAAATTAAACGCAATTTTTTTTTTAAGAAATAATAACGAAAATCTCTTTTAATTTTTGCACATAATTTAATGGCGATTTTAAATATCTCGTGGAGCGTTTTTTCTTTAAAGTGTATAATATATATATCGTGAAGCTTTATATGGATAAGAAAAGTTATGAAAGAATTCGCAATTCCCCATGAAAATGACGTGGCAGATTGTGTTTTTAATGGCCGGTTCCTATAAATATTATTTTTGTACGTTAATTACTTTGAAGGTTTACAAATATCATTTTAAAAATAATTATAAGTTTTTTCCGTTGCATGGAAACTTGAAAGACAAATATTTAAAAAACGTGTTTTTAGCAATTTAGAAGGTCGTATACTTTATTACCAAAAATTTTGTATATTGCTTCACATTTGAAGTACAAGAAATATTCATATTAAAAATTAGGTCATTGTTTTTTATGTTTATTTTTGCAAGTATGGAACAAAAAAAACAGAGCTGACTATTCGAGCATGCAAGTAAATAATAAAAATCATTCATGAACGTAAACTCCAAGTGGACCTTGTCAATGGCGGGAAACTAAAACGAACACTATCTTACCACGTAACATAATGAAAATACACACTGCTTCGAGTAAAATGTAAAGCACACCATAAATTAAAGCATAATTTAATCTTTTTATCGAGTTAATTCAACAAAAAAAAAATATTCACCGACATAGAACTTTATAGTCATACAGTTTTTATAATTACATATTAGTTATACTCTTAGATCACGTCAACCTTTTTTAATAATATAGACTAAATTAAAGCATAAGTTAAAGCTGAAAATGGAGTTGGGGTTGAAGAATTTATATTTTAACCCATGGTTATTAAAAGAATGAGCATTGTTTTGATTGGTGGATCTAGATCAAAAGGAATATATGAATACAATGCTTTCTTTTAGAATAAAGGCAAAAAAGAAAAAAGAAAAGAAAAGAAAAAAGGTGCATGCTTTGATAAAATAACACACTGGCCCCATCTGTCTTTTACAATAAAATTAAAAGACTAATTGCATATAAATATGATATTATATATCCTACCAAATTATTAAATTGAAAATGATTATAAAAAGATCTTGTTTTAAATATTTGTGTAGATAATCATGAATCTTCCACATCCTTAAATCTCTTTTAAAGCTTGAATTGGTATGCTATAATTAGGTGCCCTTGAGATTTTTATATGAATGTTATTTGTGTGTGCAATATTGTATTTTAACTAATAATGATTTTTTTGTTTTTGTATCTACCTCACATACACATGAAAATTCGAATATGCAATCTTTAAAGAAGGTTGTTGGAGGGTAAATAGTATTGTCACGTGGAGAACAAGTAAATGTTAGAACGTAAGATCTTCTCTAGCTAGAAGCTCGGAGATACATAGTGATCGACCTTTCAACCCTACATTAAGGTAAACTGCCTAAACTTGATAGACAAGGTACTACCACGATTTGATCTTGAGCACCCGACAAATTGACCGTTGATAATGAACTTTCCAACAATGCACAATTGACCATCAGATACTCCAGTCAGATCTTAACCCTATAAATGAAGAACCAATTATGATTCCAGGTACACAATCTAAACTCGATCGGAGACTTTAGGTCGACCCCTTACTGATTTGAGCTTCTCTTATCCACGTCTTCCTCACCAAACTCACTCCCAAGCTTTGGCCAAACTCTACTTTTGCAGTTCTAGAGCTAGATCAAAATAATCATAAACAAATGTTATTTATGTATTAATCAACTAAATTATGTTTACGTTATCACTAACCACATTATTTGTATAATTACCTTGAAATGATAAAAGTTGAGAGCTTTGTTTGACGGTAGAGTGAGGAAAGACTAACGTGAGAGGAATTCTAAAATATTAAAGAAAATGTTCCCAAACAATTTTAAGCATAGAATATTGTTTTTGCCTAATAATTCCTTTTACACAATCAAATGGATTTGACTTATTTAATTGAGGTATTTATATAATCAGCATAAAATAAATATACATTTTTAAATTCAGCATAAAAAACTTTATATAATAGTATAATTCAAATCCAACTCAAACCTATATGTAATCTAAAATAAGTTTAAAGAAGTCACATTTATACTATATTTTAAGAGAGGAAAAGGCTGTACACTCTGAAAAAAAACTATTAAATTTATGTCCATGAAATGAAATTTCTTAATTTAATTTAATCCTAGCATTAGCAATCTTGTTATTTATCCCCAATTTTAATATTATAGTTAAGTTAATTTTTGCATGTAAATAATAAATATCAAACAACAAAAAGTGACGCACATTAAAATTTCCTAAGTTAACATTTTCAACAAGAAACTCAATTTGGAACTCATTTAAATATAATCAGCATAATCTAATTTCGTCCCGTTAATTTTCACGAAAAATAGTATATTAAAAATTGAAATCCTTAATTTTTACAAAAATTTCTATTGTTGAAATAAGAGATATGATTTTTACCGATGGAATCACTAGTAATAGAGTAACAAATAAAATTTTGTTGTTATAAACCTTTTTTGTCAACACATTAAATTTTATGGGAAATTAAATCGTGGTCAAAAATAAAATTTCTTTTAATGTAATTTTCTTTCTCAGTAGAACGAAAATTCGAGTCCACAATCTTCTGTTCGATATACAATTTCTCCGACCAAATATAAACTTTTAGGATTAAAATTATATGTCACCTTTATAATATTTTAAACGTATTTAAAAAAAACAATAATAATAATGGCACACTCTTTCATGATTTAGTTGAAATTGAAATTGTCGAAGCAGCAAACAAACAATCTTAAAATAATATTAAAAGTAAGATTTATTTGTGTCTTACAAACTCTAGAAGATCATTGCAATATTTAAAACCAAAATTCCCTTTGAAGTTTGTTTCAATTCAATCAAAGGTTGGACTTTATTTAAAAACTCCAAATTAAAGACTTACCCATTCTTTTCCATGCATATACATATTAAAAATATTTCCATAATCAATTTAAAATTAAAGATAAAAAAATAAAGAAATATGTCAAAGCAATGTAATACATGATACATCATCTTCTTTTTTTATTTTAATTTAATCATGATAAATATTTTCTACATAATATTACTTTACTTCATTAATTCTTTTAGTTCGATAAATGTGTAACATGTACTCAATTAAGTTTAGAAGAATTATTGGTCAAATTAGTTGCTGATAGTGTGGAATAGTTATCGAGTAAGATTGATTTTTTTAAGTTAAAAAAGTATACTAAAGAACCATCATTGATGCATCCTTTTTTCGTTTCTTCTTTCATTTTTATTTTAGCGAGGAGCTAAGTTCAACCGTTTTCTATTGATATTTTCTATTTTAATTCGGATAAATATCATTAGTACATTTTTTAAAATTGTCAACAACATGAGTATAATTGAACAGTTAAAGACTTTTATTTATTTTTCTTGAAATTATAAGTTCAAATCTACACCCTCACATCTTTGTCTTATTAAAAAAACATTATTCAAAATTGTACATTTATTTACGAAGTTAACTTTTCCTTTCAATACCCAAAGTTCATTGAGAATGACCATTCAAATTTATCATTCATTTGTTTTAAAGATACCACATCAAAAGCATACAATTATACAATTTCAAAATTATACTAAGTATATGGGTAATTTTGTCGAGGTAAACATAAGTAACCAAAATATTAGTAATAATGATCGTAACATTATATAAAAATAAAAAGTTTAGTACAAATGAGTCTTGGTTATAAAGATCCGCAGCCTAAGCACGCAATGTCGATTTTGAAATAAAAACATTAAAAAAAAAAGAAAGAATAGATATTTTTAGGTTAATGAATGGATGTTACATATATATATAATTTTTTTTTTGAGTTGAATTGAAATCCTACATAACATGCATTTTGTCACATAGTAGGTGAGAAAGACCAAAGTAGTGGCCATAAAAAATAAATTAAAAGACCAACAAACTATATCCATTGTCCCCTTATAATAAAACCTTATTATATTTATTTACATGTATAGTTTGGTACATTTGTCAACAATGCATGAATTGGGTATGAGTATGAAAGCTACTTTCATTCCATTCTTTAATCATGAAAAAACAAAGAAAAACATAGCTTAAATCCCACCAAGTTATACACAATTGTCGGATTCTAATTTTAATAAATTACCCCGACACAGCCAACTCATCGTATATTAGTGACAACTCAATTAGTAATCGTCAAATTCATTTTATGCCCTTACTACTATTTAAAAGAAACAAATTTCATTACTATATATTTCTACGGTGATCAATATTTTTTCAATATAGTTGTTAAAGAAAATAAAAAAATATTGATAATATCACTTATATGAACATGAACACTAATAATAATAATAAAAAAAAATAGCATGTGAGATTATTGCAAACAATTTGTTCGAGTCTCTCGGATCTTCAAATATTTTTCACACAAATACCTATCTACATCGATAATTCACCGAGATCTTAAAATAGAACCATCGGCAACAATATTTAAATTCTCCATTCTAACATATCAATTATTTAAAAGAAAAAAAGAGATACGTACATCATTCAAATAAACGATCCTAATACGATCAAGTCATCGCACATTAGTGACAACTCAACTAATAACCGTCCAATTCATTTTAAGCTTCATTACTTTTAAAAAAACCAATTTAAAAATTGATTACTATATATTTCTATAAGTCAAAAGAACCGACATTGATACAATAAAAATAAAGAGTTTGATCAATATTTTTCCAATATACCATATTAAAGTTGCTACGAAAATAAAAAATATCGATAAAAATCACTTATATAAAAACATAAATCTTAATAATAAAAAGAATTAGCGTACGACATACTTATTCATTATTGCAGACAGTTTTTTCGGGTCTCTTAATATTTATACATTTTTCTCAAATATCTATCTACATCGATAATTTATCGAGATTTTTCCTGTCGATTTCTTAAAATTGAATCTTCAACATCGATATTTAAATTCTCCATTCTAAAATACCAATTATTTAAAGAAAAAAAAAGAAATACGTACATCATTCAAAAAGTTTGACAAAGACAATATACAACATGCCGTCGCTAATACGTCGCCGTTTTGTAGGTTTGGATATTTTCCGAGTTTTGAAGAAGCTCGAAGCAGCAGAGCCAAGCACCAGAAATGGCGATGTTCTACACATTGCTCTTACAGGACGCTTGAAAATTTGAGAGAGAAAAAAAGTAATCTAATTAGAAAATGGTGCAGATTCTTCTTCAATCAGCGGCGCCCTTTCTTCTCCAATGCTCTTCTCCTCCTCCCACCTCCTCCAGGTACCATAATTTCTCTTCTTCTCTCCATTGATGTGTACAGTTTGTTGTGTATAAAATGGAAGCTGGATTTGTGTTTTGTTCTACTTCCATTTTTCTGGGTTTGTTTCAATCTGTAATTGAACTCGCAATTCTTGTAGTAGTCTTCGGGTATTTGCGGTTGGCATTAGGAAATTTCGAACTAGGTTCTGGGATGTTCGAAATGACTTGATTTTATTTTAGTATCGATGGATTTTGGAAAAGAGAGATGAATTGGTATTTGAAACCGAGGATGCATTCATTTGGGTGACAGAATTCATAGATTGAAGGTGGTTTAATTTGATGTGCCGTTGGTATTATTAGTGTTTAGATTCATAGAATTCATATGATGTTATGACCAATAACTTGAATTTATCCAATTTCCTGACAAAGACCTCAATGTAAAATCCTGATCATGACTTCTGGTTCAAACAAGTTGATGGTCTGTTTTCCTTCCCAATCTCCCGCTCTATCAACCATAGTTTTACCCTTTTATTTTCTTCATGCTCTCAGTTTACTGTATGGGCTTTTTTTTTGTTCTCTTTTGTCATCAGGGGAATGCCTGGCAAAGCAATGTTGAAGAGTGGTTTTGAGCGACCTGCTCTAAGAAAGCTTGTGTCCCAGCATGTACTATCTGGATTTGCTGCTTCATTGATATTTCTCACTCAAACGAACCAGGTTAGTGGGTCCATTGGCTAGTCGAGATAGCTAAGTAATCCCCTTTGAGTAGTTTCGATCGAATGTTGATTTGTTTGGTGTAGTTTTATCAAACGCATTGCCATCAGACTGCCTGCAGTTCAGACTCCATCGAAAAGCTTGGATCCCAAAATTCAGTCCTGTTGATTCAAACTATATGAGTCCTTTACTTGCAACTTTAGACGCATGAGATAATTAGATTGTTCTCATCTGGTCTGTCTTGAAATTGGCCCTTTTATCATTACGTTACATTACTTGAATAAACATAGAAGTTCTTTCCATGGTCCAATGGCATTACAGGATTAGTCAATTCATGTTGTAGAATTACACATTTTTTCGGACTACAAACTGGAGGATATAGGATCATGTGATGAACTTGAATGGGATCGAAGCAGGGTTTACCATTCTAATACTAGTTTCTTGTCAGGCTGTATCAGCTGATCTATCTCGCCATGAAAACCTGTGCCAGCTCGCAAATGCAGAGAATGCTGCAAGCCTTCCATTTGACAGTGGTTCTGATGGAGGGGGGAGGTTGATGATGATGAGAGGGATGACTGCAAAAAATTTCGATCCCGTTAGATACTCGGGAAGATGGTTCGAAGTTGCTTCACTTAAACGAGGATTCGCTGGACAAGGTCAGGAAGACTGCCACTGCACCCAGGTGAACCTGACTGGTTGGTGTAGCTTATAGTTCTTTTTATCTCTTGAAATCTGAACTCTCACTCCTTGAATCTGATACTTCAAACAACAAACCAGTTTTACGTGCCTTTAGTATATCATAGAGTGAGAAAACAGCGTAATCAACCTTAATCATACTGATGAATAAGATATTACATTGCATCAATATGTAGGGTGTATATACATTTGATATGGCGACACCAGCTATACAAGTCGATACCTTTTGTGTTCATGGAAGCCCTGACGGGTATATAACCGGGATAAGGGGAAGAGTTCAGTGCCTTTCAGAGGAAGATTTACAGAAAAATGCAACCGAGCTGGAGAATCAGGAGATGATCAAAGAGAAATGTTACTTGCGTTTTCCAACATTGCCATTTATCCCCAAGGAGCCATATGATGTGATTGCAACTGATTATGACAACTTTGCTCTTGTTTCTGGAGCAAAAGACCTTAGTTTCGTTCAGGTAAATTAAAAGATTCTGTACATAGTTTAATTTGGTTAAAATACTATCTTGGTCCCGATACATTTCCACTCGTAGTTTAGAAAGCTTAGCTCTAATATCTATACTTACAAAGAATTGGACTGATTACAAATAGTTTGTTTAGCTTGCAAATCATGTTCCTATGTTTTAGAAATGGTTTAAACATTCCTATGGTTTTCGAGATCTATAAATCATATTATTATAGTAAGTTTCACCATTAACTTCCACGGAAATAGTACATATGGCTTATTCTACATATACCATGTGTACTAATTCCATTAAAACTAACAAATTGGAGCGCATGATTTTCAAATTACAAAGACGTTTGAGACCATTTTCAGAAGACATAGGTACATTGGATATCATTGTCTGCCCATCTGCTAATTAGTCAACTGTTTTGTTTGATTCATTTGGACATAAATCTCACAGATCTATTCAAGAACACCGAACCCGGGACGCGAGTTCATAGAGAAGTACAAATCGTACCTGGCGAACTTCGGGTACGATCCGAGCAAAATCAAGGACACTCCTCAAGATTGTGAAGTAATGTCAAATAGTCAGCTAGCTGCAATGATGTCAATGTCTGGAATGCAACAGGCTTTGACAAATCAGTTTCCTGATCTGGGGCTAAAGGCTCCTATTGAACTCAACCCTTTCACAAGTGTATTTGATACTTTCAAAAAGCTTGTAGAACTATATTTCAAGTAGTTTTTGGTTCAATTAGTTGTTCAGCAATACAACCTTGTCTAAATCCAAGCAACTGGTCATAATCCAATCCTCATTTATGGTAGATTCTTGCTAGCATTTCTTTACTTGTGCTTTTAGCTTTTGAAAGAGACTTGATTTACTAGAACTCTATTGTTGAATCTATCATTGCCTTGAAATTCATGTATTAATTAGATATGTGAATTATATTTGGAAATATCAAATTTCTTTACCATTGGGCTCTTTTTGCTAATTAAATACTCTCTGACAAAAGTTTAAACTTTTTTAGGAAAAAAAATAAATAAAAGTACTTTTTCATGTAGAGCAAATGTAATGAATTGAATTCATTCTATGTCACTAGTCCGCACGATGAAAAACAAAATGCCTATTTGGTAACATTTTTATTTCTTGTTTCCAATTTTTGAGAAAAATAAAAAATTAAGTTTCTTATTCATATATTCAGTTTTTTTCAAAACATAGATAAATATATTATTTTATCATTGACGTAGCTTATTCATATTTTCAACAAAAACATAGATAAAAATATTATTTTATCATTCATGTATAAAATGCATAATAAATATATAAAAGAAATATAACATAAAAATTTTGAATTATTTAATTTTCATATAAAACCTTTTACCTTTTTTTTTTTCAATTTGAAAGTTTAGAGAGAGAAATAAGAAAGGGCTAACAAACATATTTATGTTTTTTTTGGAACAAAAATAAGAAACAGCTATCACACAAAATTCATTAATTCAATTTCTCTTTATTAGAAAAGAGGCAACCTAAAACAAAAAACTAGAACCTTACTAAAGGGTCTCAGGTAATTTAAAACTCTCCTGATAATTTAAAACTTTCCTTTTGGGCATGATGTGAAGGAGGGCAATTTTCTTGGGGAGGTAGGCCACAAGAATAATGAAAAAAGTGAGACCCCTATTATCCCAAATATAAAAAATATAAGGTAAAAGATTTACACTAGATCATTAGGTCAATTAAAAAAAAAATTCAAATCTAAAAATAAAATGAGGTAGGCCACACCATCCTCCAAACACCATTATTTCTACTTTTCCTTGCCATTCAAGATACCAACAGAAAAAAATGTATCAGAAACTGAATCTTCCTTGTGAATGTAGCACCATCATTTGGCACTTATTAGAGACAGTGAAACAAGATTTCAGGTCATCAATGGAAACTTTGGTAAGTTGGTCTACTAGATCACTTGCAAAAAGCAAAGAATTTGGAGCAAATTATAGTCATAAGCAAGCAATGGGTTGAAATACACTGAAAAAATGCAAAAAGAGACCCAAGTGGGAAAGAAAAATTCTTTACTATTACACAACTTACATGTTTTTGAGTGCAAACATGTCAAATATGGGAAGAGAACAAATTACCATCCAAGAGAAAACAACAAAGCCAAGCCAGCTTTCTTTTCACTTTTGATTAAGGAAATAAAACGTCTAACGACTAGAACACGGTGTAGCTTCCAACTGGATTGGCGGAGCACGAACGGGTGATGAGTCAAGCTAAATTGCCTAGAAGACACTTGAATGCAAGCAGCCTCCTGATGAAAAGGGCAACCCAAGGTCGATTTCGGCTCTCCAATGTGACTTGCAGCTCCCTTTATGTCATTTGAATCCCAAAATCTATAAGAAAACTTGGAGGGTGGCGGAGCTCCTGCCAAGTGACAGATTCAGATAGAATGCAGCCTATTTAAACTAATGGAGAAAGTTTTTAGTGTCAAGCAAAGGTTTCAGATAGCTTTGCAAAACCGAGTTTTCTGAGTCGATTTGATAGAGGGCGACTAGCCCAAGCTCTATCAGGGTTATTGCACTTTACATCCACAATTGCAACTGCTCTAAGTCCTTTCCTTTCTGGTTTCCCTCTATAGCTGTTGTTTCCATCTGTATAATTATCATTAGAACCAAGCATTGGCATTCGGTGGACATCCCTCGAACTGGTTTTAGTACTATTATGAGAGTTCCCAAAGCTTCTGTTATTGACACTATTATATCTTCTACCATTGCTTACTTCATCTAACGATCTACTTTGTTGCAATCTTTTAGGAATGGAAGCAGCAGACGAGGTAGAAGTAGTAGTAGTAGACGACAAAGATTTGTTTTTGGAAGCTACCGACTTCTGGGGGCCAGATCTCATTGACTCTAATTCCCTCATCATCAAGGAGCTAATAGTTCCAGTAGCTCCAACCTTAATGGATCCTCCACCACCTTTGATAGATTGCAGTTTCTGAGCCATGTTTTCGTCAGGTGAACTAGTATCTTCTAAGAGGAAAGAGGCAATCTTCAAAAATTCCCAACGAAAATTTAACAAATTAAAGCAATTTAACAGCCCATCATAAGATAACCTCCTGAAAGAAAGAAGAAAATGATAAGAATTGATTGTAGCACGGCTAACTTTGCAGATTGAAGTTGGTTATTTTCTATCCAATAGTGTGAGGCTCACAAGTACATAAGTTTATACTAGAAATTAAGCATGAATCTTGTGATCTACTTGAAAATCTGAGATATCAACTTTATAATCAATCTAAAATCTATATTATTATATGTATATAGAAATCAGAGTGACCACGAATACAATATCATACAGGGACAGAAAGCCCAGAAGATATAGAAACTGAAGGAGCACATCGACGAGTTCATGTAATGGAATTCAATCGTTAAGCTGTTCTGGAAAAGCAAATTGTTATAGAAGTGTACTGAAGGAGCCTTCAAAAATTAAATAGAACCAGTAAGGCCTCATAAGGCAACCCAAGAACTTCTTAAAAGCTCTGCCAAGTCTTCTAAAAAAATAGCATCTTCGAAAAATGCAAGCCAAATCCTTGCCCTCCTATTTGATAGAACACACCATTGAGGCCCTAACACGAAAAGCGAAGCTTTCTAGATAACATCTTAGGTATTAGCCCACATATGGCATAAGAGACATGCCAAACAAAGAACTTTTACCTTCTTAAGAATGCAAATTTTCCATAGCTTTGTGAAGAAGGGAGAACGATAATGGACAGGGTGGCAAGTAACTGGCCAAATAAAAATTTGACATAGAAATAATCTAAGGATTCAAGAGACCAGATATATGCTTATCCTTGAAGGATGGATTTAAACAGACTCCCTAAACGGAAGACAAAAGAGTATAAAGCTTTAAAAAGTTTAGAATCAAACCAGACCCTTCTAAATTAGAAATCATTTGTGCAAAGGCTCCTGTCTAAGGAGTAAGGATAAAATCAGAAATGGGAGAGTTCTTGGCATAGAGGTTAGAAAAGCATTTGCAAAGCAGTCCATTTCTAGTCCATCGATCGTACCATAAACAAATATGAACCATGTTTCCTAACAAAACTCGAAAAAGTAATAAAGTCAAGATAACGGTGGAACTAACGGGGGATCAGTTTCAGCAGATTGCAACAGGTGCCAATGCCATTGCCAACAAAAGTGGCAACTACACCCTCATGAGAAGACCATATTACTAACCAAAATCTTAGACCACAAAGCATGACTTTCAAGGGGAAACCACTTAAAAAAAGAAGTGTTATAAAAATCAAGATAACGGCAGAACTAACGGGGGATCGTTTTCAGCGGATTGTTACAGTTGCCATTGCCAACAAAAGTAGCAAATACACATTCATGAGGAGACCATACTTACTAACCACAATCTTATACCAAAAAGCATCAGTTTCAAGGTGAAACTCCACATTCACTTAGAAATAAAAGTGTTATAATCCTTACACTCAGGTTTCCCATATCCAGCCCCCCTGCCCAGTGCCCCACACAATTAGTAACACTTGATTAAGATTAGGAGTTATCCCACAAAAATTATGAAGCAAACAAAAACCAATCCCACTTCAAAATAATAAATCCCAAAAGGTATTCAAATCAAGATTAAAAAACATCAGCTTTAACACTTGAGGAGCCTCACTACACACATCAGCATCACATCAAGAAATAGTAAGGTTACTCAAATCATTCAAAAGTTGTGCCAAAGAAGAAAGAATCATATCATCAATCACTTCAGAAGAACGAAAGAAACTCCAAAAGAATCCACCAAAAGCAAAATCCAAAATGAATCACCAGGAGCTGCGAAATCAAAAGACAAAACACTTCACCGATCATGAGAGAGAGAGAAATAGAGCATACCCACGAGAGAATATCAACAAAATCTGCAGCCAAAAAGCCAAGAGGGTATAAAGAGAAACGAAACGACCCACAAAAGCAGGGAAATCAAAAGGGGAAAGTGGGGATTTTAATTTGGGAATTCGTCAGTGAGTGAATCGATTGGAAGCAAAATCTGAAACTGCGGCTCCAAAGATGATTTAAGGGACGAAATTAGATCTCAAGTTGTTGAATTTTCTGTCTTATTTGCATTTCTCCATCAGACAATCAAACGTGAACCTCACTGCAATTTTCGTCTGAAAAAAAAAAGGTTCGGTTATCGTCTTCATCATCTCATCACTCTCGCCACAATAATTTTTTTTTTCCTTTCATAGTTTCATTTAATTTATTAAAAATAATTAAAAAATTATATATTTTTTGCAATGTAAAAAAATTAGTTTTCTTCTTTTATTTTAATTTCGGAGTTAAAAAATGTACTTTTGTTTGAGTAACAATTTAGTCTTCAGACTTTCAAATGTAACAATTTAGTCATTTACTTCAAATTGGTAACAATTTAGTTTCTGAAATTTAACATGTAATAATTTTATCTTTGAAGTTTAAAGTTTGTAACGATTTAGTCCTCATTATGATATTTTTTTTGTTAAATTTCTTAAATATGGAGATCGATAAACCGATCAAAGATCACATTTATCTATAAATGACAAAAATTAAATCGTTATGTGATTAAAAATAAACGCTTATGAGAATTTTTATGGTATGGACTAAATTGTTATAAATTTTAAAATATAGGAATTAAATTGTTATATATTAAAGTTTGAGGATTAAATTGTTACCAATAAACAAGTACATGGACTAAATCGTTACCATTAAAAGTTAGGTGATTAAATCGTTATAATTGATTAAATCGTTATTTTAATAAAAATATAGGACCAAATTTATTTTTAACCAGCTTTTATGCAAAAAAAATATTAGAACTTTTACCATTGGGTAATTGTCTAATTTTTTACTTTTTAAAAAAAAATTGTTTACTTTGCAGTCCTAAAATTTTTATGTTAAATTAATATTATAGTTCTATTTGTCATTTGGTTTCAATTTAATTTTTATAGATTTAGATTTTAATTTACATATTTTCTTTGGATGGGGTAGAAAGAAGATAAATTGAATTTAAATCAAATACGTCACTTATGACCCTGGAGAAAATAATAATATTTTGGGAAATTAAATCTAGAAACTGAATTAAAATTTTAAAAACCATAACAATGAAATTAAAACGACAGAAACTATATTATAACCAACTAGAATGATAATTTAAGTAAACATATATTAAAATTATTGAAAACAAATAAATTAAATGATTTAAGTCATAATTTTAAATCAATTTGAAATTCACCTGTATTTAGGATGATAAATCAAAAGAAAAATGAATATAAAAGTCAACATTTTTATTTTTATTTTAATTATTTGTTTTTGAGAAATGACATTTGGTCAGTTTGGCCACCTAATATATTAGCTGGCTCTCCGCCTCTTTTCCAAATTTTTTTWAAAAAAAAAGAACAAATTTATCTTTACCACACATATATTTTAAAATGCAATTGGTTTATAAATTCAAGCAAAATTCAAGTGTTCTTGTATTATCGTCGATTGTTATGAAATCTTGAAATGTAATTCTTATACTTTCTAATTTCTATGGTTTATGTCATTATATGACGAACAATTAAACAAAATAGAGTTACACTGCTAATTTAACATTTTACTAAAAGTAATATATCAAATCTCCTGTATAAATAAGACAGATTTTAAAATAATGACTCAAATAGACACAACAATTATTGATATAGAAATTTGACCGTCTAAGATCCCTCCAAATTTGCATTAATCTTCTATCGTAAAAGGGATCGACGTGACCTGCAAAACCAAAATAACTTAAGATCAGTGTAGCTCCTACCACACGGACTCCGATGCTTAAGTTAAAATTGAAGTAGTCTAGAGTAGAGAGTATATTTAGACCTACTTTTAGGGTTTAGCTTACTTCCCTATTTATAGAAGTTGAATCCTATTCATCTCAGAATTATGGGAGTCGAATCTTGATACATCTAGAAAATCTAGTTATCTGAACCAGCGTATCATGTTATGGGTCTGTCGTCGGATCAAGAGTCGGGACACAATGGGTTCGGGCCGGCATGCATCACGGTCGAGTTGGGTCTCTAGGATTCTCCGCCGGGGGTCGAGAACTGCTCGACGCTGAGCCCTGCTCGGTCGGGGGGCCGACTTGGGTTGCCAAGCACTGTCTCCCTTTCTAGGTTGTGCCTTCTCTTAGCTCTCCTCCGGTCTTCTCTCGCTTCACTGGATCTCTTTTTTCTCCCTATAAAAACCATCAACATTTTTCTTATTCTTTTAATTATGTAAATATTTTTTTAGCTACTATGTTGTAGCTCTCATCCATCTTCAAATTTGTTGCACTTTCCAACGAGATTGTCCCTACTTGCATATGAAGTGTCATTGTGTACTTTGTTTTGTAGAGTATTGTCATCTTTCATCAATAGATTCAATACCATACAACTAAAGTTAAAATAATAAACAAACTTAAATTTGTTGGAGTTAAAATTATTCGTTCTTTTTCTTTTCGACAACGTAAACATAGCTTAGCATCAAAACATATGATTCATTCTTTTTTATGTTGGGAAGTTAAAATTCGGAGTTAAAAGACAATTACATACATGTAGTAAAATAAAAGATTCGGTCAATATTTTAAATGTCGATATCGATAGAAATGTCGATGTCTCAATTTCATGGAAATATCTATGAAAATATTGATAAAATATTGATGTCGATGGATATTTCTGTAAAAGTTAAAGAAATTAAAACAATCGTAAAAAAACTATTTAAATCAACAAATAAAAATTTTTCTATTTCAAAATAAATTTAAAATAATTAATATTAATATTATGTATATATTAATGATATTTTGTTGATATTTTGATATTTTGTCGATTTTTTTGTACTACGATGGAAATATCGATTTACCCCTCATGTCGATGTTGAATCCATGAAAACATGGACATGCGATGAAAATGTCGACATATCAATGGATATTTAAAACCATGAATTCGGTATGATGTTTAGTAAGTTTTTTCCTACAAGAAATTAGAGTCTATATATTACACTTTTTAAGGGCACGTGCGATAGTCTTAAAGTTTTTTGATGTGGGAAGTTTAAGGTAACATTCACCTTTCTTGTTTATTGTTTCCAGTTTTACTAGGAAGCTGAAGTATTTACGACTATTTATGTTTGTTGTTTCTCAATACTTTTTTTTATAAATATTCTCAAAATTCTATAAAGATTTTAGGGAAATTTTTTTTCTTTTTTTTTTTTTTTCTATTTCCAACAAAACCAAATTTCTTTATATCTTTTTTCAATAAAAGAAATAAAAAACAAAAAATAGTTACCAAATGTAGTTATGTTTTTTTATTAAAAAATAAAAAACAAGAAATGGAAACATTATAAAATGGGACTTAAAGAACTACGTTCTCGAACACTAAAACCACAATACATTCTAAAAATCAAGGATCGAGATCTACCATGTGGTAACCATCGGACTACCCATCAAGAGTCCTTTAATGTAACTTTGTTAAATTCTAATTTTCTCTATGATATGTTTAACAAGGGGTGTTTAGCCAAATGATATAACCTCTGATTAGGATTTATTATGTTATGTTTTTAGTAATGATCTTAATTAGCCAGCACACCATTGGAATAATTTAGGCTATTTAAGTTGTGAATTTCGAGCTATTTACAACATAGTTTTGTTTGATAAACTCAAGTTGAATTTCAATCAGAATTGAGAATTTCTTCTCTTAGATATTCAAGACGTCTATCTTCCTCATTTATTTACAATTCTTGATCTAGATTTGTGAGCTGAAATATTCTACCTAAAAATTGATCAAACTTATTTGTGAAACATTCAACTTTTGAGTAAACTAATTCTCCTAATCTCTTGGAATTTAATCAGTAACGTAACTTTTATTCTAACTCTTTTCTTGATTGAGTTGATTTCATCATTGTTATGAGCTAAATAAATAAGATTCGACACAGCGACGGGTCGAGTGTGAAAAAACTCAATGATCCGATCAACCAAATTAAGACTTGGGAGGGGCTCAAATCGACTGGACCGACCCGGGTTCGGTGTCAACCTCTGCTCGATACCTAGCAGTCCTTGGCCCAATGACCGAGGACTACCGTGCGTCCAATCCGACTATCCCGCGTGATCCAAGTGATATGGAATGATTGCAAATGGGTCAAACCCCATCAGCAGGATCTCCTAAACACCTTGATCTGACTTTCCTAATTCCCGAAGGAATCAGGACTTAACTCCAATAAATAGAAAAGTAAGCTAAACCCTAGAGGTAATCCTAATCACTCTACTCCCCACATTCGACAACTCCACACTGGTCTTAACGTGACTCTGTTTTGCAAGTCTTGTCCGTCTCTTTTTCTAGAAGATTGGTGCGGAATTTACGGAGTCCCACAAAGTCAAATTTCTGCATCAATAGTAGATTTTTCATAACCCCAAGTCAAGAGTACTAATCATTTTACAAAAGGATTGCGGTGAAATCACTATAGATAAATAACTTTAGTTTATTAGAAATTTGAGTTTCCATAAAACTTCCCATCAATTGAATAGTGTGGTTTTAGCTAGAAATGAATGCATTCTTCAAAGTTTTGAGAAGCTAAAACATTGTGATAAAATAGAAAGATACTTTTTTATTGGATAACACTCTCTACCATTTAATCAAAGCCATTTTTAAAGCTTCCCAACTTATCCAATTATGCTTAATGGCTTATAGTATGCAAAATAATGGATAAAGGGATGAATGTCCTTATCAAATCCATCTGGACATCTTTTAAGTCTAAAAAATTACTTAATATAATTTGTTAGAGGTGGATTTCAGATCACATGGGGCACTTGATTGGATAATGAAACTTACGCGTAGTTATTATCGGTAAACTTCAAGTCTCGCTACCTCAGTTTCATTCTCCACGACCGAACCGATCAAACACCTTGGAATCTTGTTCCCATTTATTGGTCGAACCGATTGGCTTTACTTCAGACTCTTCGACAGACTTCACGACAGCTCACTATGATTCATGGTAATCTTAAAGAGCCGTTGAGGCCTTGTCGGGGACATTGTCACGGAAGTTACCTATAATTAGAACTCATTCACCTCATTTTTAGGTACGTGAACATCTCTTTTCTCTCTAATAAACAACTTGGATTCTTTTTGACTTTGGTATCGGAGTGTTCTCTGTTTTGCAGGTCACCTGTCCACTAGACTCCAGCTCGTTTGCTAGATCAGCCTAGCTTCCGAGCCGAGGTTTGTAGCTTGGTCAAATCCTTAATCAAACATAATTTTTATTTGATTTCATTCTAAATAGCATGTTAGATGACATGTTCACAATGCTATGTTCACTTTAGGTATAAGTCTTCGTGCTTTTACTTTTAGTTTCACCCAAAAAGTTTTGTACCAATAGAGATGTTATCCTTAAACTTATATACCATAAATCTTCACTTCTCGAGTCAATATAAGGCTTTGATCGCATTCCCAAGCAAACTATTACTCTAAAGTTATACCACTATAACTTTATTAGTAAGAGTTATTAGAAAATGCACCGACCATGTTTGAACTATAATGCTATTATAATTAAACCTAGGTCTATTACAGCTCGTTAAAGTTAAACTCGACCCTATTTCAATAATTACACTCCAAAATTTTAAATAAAAAATGAAAAATATAAAATTAACTCCGGAAAATAATTTAAAATGCAATAACACTCGCATAAACTATGAAATATATATAGTAAAGAGTTAATAACGAAAATTTGTTAATTAATTGATTGATTAATTAAGGTATCATGTTATATTGGTTGTATTGTATTGACAGCGATGATGCCTAATAGAGAATTTAGTATCTTTTTAATAGAATTGACTCTAATTTATGGTTGTACTAAAAAAAGACACTCATTTATGGAGGGATAAATAGTTAGAAGGTATTTGGATGGTTGCTATCGTAGTTATATTAGAACCCTTTTCTTTTTACCGAGACAAATATTTAAGCGAAACTAAGGTGCATAGGGAACTCTCCTTGCGTTAAAAGGAATGAAGGACATCTCTAGTAGATATTGTTCAAGAACACGTTCAGGAACTTCTACCATCCAACACCCTTCCACGTTACGTTCCGTCATCATCTTCGCCTCTGTAATGTGTCGTTCGATTTGCAGATTTCTTGCATAAGTTGAAGAAACAACTCTGTAATGTCCGTAAGGTCAAGTATTTTTCTCCCCATCGTACTTATATTTGAAAATATTTTCAACCACTTAAATGAAGAGTATTAATTATGTTTGAAGTTTAACTCTTACATGATCCGAGAAGATTGCTTGATATACCAGTCTAGAAAACTGGAATGATGCAAATTGTGGTCATACCAAACATGATCTTGAAGAGAGATTAACTTTTTTTTTTTTAATATGCAAATTAGCTATTATTAACGCAATATATTTTCACATGTTTAATTAAAGTAATTGAAACAATTTATTATGAGTTGTTATATATGAAAATAGATTGGTTTTGTTAGGATTATAACTTCTTTTTATATGAAAAATAACTAACAAAAACTTTTAGGATGTAATTTTTATGTTTTAACTTAATTAAATAGGCACACTACTAAAAACTTTGAGCGCATTAATATTATCTTTGAAAAATTGAACCCTCGACTCTATGTCTACAATTCTATATTCTAAAGAAATCAAAATTAAAATAAAAAAAACATTGATTATCAACTAAATTATATTGTCAGTCAAAATATAGTTCAAGAGGATAAGATATCAATTAAGTAGATGATTTGAATGGTTGAACTAAAAAAGACCAACCAAATCATTATATTATATTAACATTGAACTAATAAAAAGCCAAATATATGTTAGAGGTGATTTATCTCTGACCACTTGGCAATCCTTGGTAGGATAATAATGATGAGTCGGCGCATAGACTTGATTTGTGCAAGGATTCTTTGACATAATCCATGACAACACGTCGCTTCTCGGGCTGTCGGAGAATCGTTGGAGGTTTGTCGGACATGAACTTCACCTATAAATAGAGACCTTCCGCCTCATTTTCAGGTAAATGAAACTATATTCTCTTGAGTATAGATCAATTAACTACTAACCCGGAGGTCAGAATCCTTACTCTTTTATGAATAGTATAGTTCAATGGTTAAGATATGTTTTCGTTTGTCATTTGTAGGTAAAAAAAATTACATATAATTTAATAAGTTCAAAAAAAAATTTTCTTGAAGCTTTTTTTTTAAGCTGAAATATATAAACATTTCTCCAATGAACTTTTAAATTTTGAACAAATATTAGAACTTTGGAACGTGGTTTCCACTTTGCACCCCCGTTCTCCTTCTTCTTCCTCGATATACAACAGCTCCATTGTTATATAACTCCATTTTTCCAAAAATAGTGTTACGGGTCTTATGGATCAGACCATTTCCTATAGAAATTATCCAAAAACTTTTGAATTTTGCAGGAAAAATGGGGAAATGAAGCAGCAGTTAAATCAGTCATACAGGTCTCGTTTTGCTTTCGATTTGAAAATCTCAAGATTTTAGCCCTCATTTCGACTTCGATTGCTGACCCACAACACTTGCTTCTTACTTCTCCCTCTCCATTTCCGTCTCTCTCAAGCTTCGCACCTTCTTCTGATCTTCTTCTTCTTCGACTGCATTCTTGTTCTTGACCCATTTGAAGCTCTGAATCGGGCGTGTCCGCCATTAGCGCTGTTCAGAATGAGCTCTCAAGCTCCCAAATCGTCAAGACCTGCAAAACCCCCCAACCAATCGCCGCCCACATCGAGATCCTCCGCTTCCTCTCTCTCATCCCATCTCGCCATGGTGGAACTGAAGCAGAGGATCCTCACCGCGCTCTCTAAGCTCTCCGATCGAGACACCCACCAGATCGCCATTGACGACCTGGAGAAAATCATCCAGTCCATTTCCCCGGAAGCCATTCCTATGCTTCTCAATTGCCTCTACGACTCCTCCGCTGACCCTAAACCCGCCGTGAAGAAAGAGTCATTGCGGCTTCTAACAGTCGTATGTGCTTCACATAGCGATTCTACTTCGACCCATTTGACCAAAATTATCGCCCACATCGTGAGGAGGGTGAAGGATTCAGATTCCGGCGTCAAGGATTCGTGTCGAGACGCCATTGGAGCGCTGTCGGCGCAGTACTTGAAGGGGGATGCTTCCGGCGGCGATAACGGCGGCCTTGGTTCGGTGGTGGCGCTGTTCGTGAAGCCTCTGTTTGAGGCAATGGGGGAGCAGAACAAGGGTGTTCAATCTGGCGCGGCAATGTGTATGGCTAAGATGGTGGAGTGCGCGGCAAGCCCACCCATCACGGCGTTTCAGAAGCTTTGCCCCAGGATCTGTAAGTTGCTCAACAATCCAAATTTTTTGGCAAAGGCTTCACTCCTCTCTGTGGTATCCAATTTATCACAGGTTCGTTTTAACTCTCTGTGGTTGTCCCTTATGTTTATTTTCTTGCCTGTAATTTTGTTATTTCACATTTTTTCATCATGTATTTTGAAATTTGGTGCTGCATTTGATGGTTTTGTCTGAAAAATGAGTTCAATGAAGATGTTTGATAAGCAGCAAGAAATAATACGTTGCAAGTTTATTATGTTTGGAGGGCAAAATGAACTTAAGACTAAGCATTATTTCTGAAATCCTCAATGTTGTGAAGCAAGTATATAACTTCATAACGATGGAAGCAACTTTTCTTTAGAAACTTTAGTTGAGTTCAATATCAAGGCCTGCTACTTCAGCGTGAAAAGATGAACTAAAATTGTCTCTCCTTTTAAGAAAACAAAGTAAAATGAACAGATGATTTGAAAATGTTTACAAGAACAGAACTAGAAGTCAATGGCTAGTCCTCTAACTAAAGAGAAAAAAAAAAAAGGGTAACATGTGCAAGTACAGACTATTTTCTTTTAGGTGATAATTATTTAATTTCAGTTTCTAGGGAAAATATGTTACCTCTCACAACTCCAGATTCTCCAGTCTTGTGTTAGAAAAAGAGGAAGACTTCAGTTTTTTCATTAGAGTTATCAATTCCAGAACTTCCTCATTGGTAAACACCTCCTGGTTCCAGGAATTCAACTAGCTGAACTAGCACACCACAACTCTGAAATGAAGCATCCTTTTTATTTAAAATATCATAAAGTCTAATAAGGGAGGAGGCATAAAGGAAATTTAACCAAGGATCCTTATAAAATCTAACATCTTTGCCATTACTCACCAAGAAAAGGCTTTAATCCTCTGTAAAGTGACCAAGATTCATGATTTCCTTCCATCGAATTTCGGAACTACATCTCTTCTAGACTCTAAAAACCAACCCCCAAACTAGTACCAAATTTGCTAGTGATGGTTTTACGCCAGAGCATGTGTCTTTCCTCCTTCCTCACTTTTTGGGTTGAAGCGTGGAATTCGACCCCTCTTTAATGCTTCTCTATGGGGCAGTGGTCTCTGCTTTGTTGATTACCAACCTTTGGGTTCCTTTTTGTAAGTTTTTTTCAGCCCTTAGTTGGTTTGGCCGTGGTTTTTTGAGGCTGTATTTGTTTGTTTTTCATTTTTCTTGATGGAAGTTCATTTCTTATGTGCATATAAAATAGAAGTGTCTGAAAATCCTCTTGGAAAAGGAATTAGGCTGCAAGTTTGTCAAAACAGCTCGGAAAAGGCCAGGGGTAATTTTTCCCTGTGGTGGCTGGGGGGGACTACATGACCCTGCCCCTATACATGGTTCTGTGGCCCACACCAAAACAGCACCTTACCCCTATATGATGGATTGTTTAGCTATTATCAGAAACCGATAACAATTTATATATATCTGTTGCCTTCATACTAAGAAGAACATAATAGTTTAGTGGAACTTGTTTCAGGTTGGTGCTATTGGACAACAGAGCTTGGAACATTTGCTACTAAGTATTCATGAGTTACTTGGGAGCACTGATTGGGCAACACGCAAGGCAGCAGCTGATGCCCTAAGTGCACTAGCATTGCATTCAAGTAATTTCATCACAGATGGAGGTGCTTCCACTTTGGCAGTACTTGAGGCTTGCCGTTTTGACAAGGTAATCTTTTGCTTTCATTTGTATAAAGCATTTCACCCGCCCTGCCCTATCTCTGTTATATCTGTGTGCATGTATTTCTTATTTCCTTCTCGCATTCTATAGACTTCAAGAATTAATTTTTCAGAAAAGCTTCCAAACTTCTCAATTCAATCTTTTCTTTTTCTTTCTTTTTAATGATAGATTTTTATTTTTCTAGAGGTTTTTCTTTATAGTTGGTGAATTCCTTATTCTTCCACTTTTTTAATCTCTTTCAGGATAAAAAAAAAAGTGAATAGGATGCATGTTTTTCTCTGGTCTCTGGCCCTTCAAAACTAAAAACATTATTTGCAAGACTATTGTAAGTGAAACTAGAATATTGTTAGTTTGTAACTGAACACTATGATAACTAACTAGACTACTGGATGCTGATATTCTGGAACACTTGTATAAGAACTATAAATTTTATTTGTTGAATAGAATCTTATTGTTTGGAGGATATAGCATAACAATTGTCACGGTGGGGATTAATGGTATCTAGTTTATTTTACAGATAAAACCAGTTCGAGATAGCATGACAGAGGCACTTCAGTTATGGAAAAAACTTGCTGGGAAAACAGATGGAGCTGCGGAAAGCCAGAATGCATCTCAAGGTATACTGATTGATGGGTCTTTTCCCCTTTTACTTTTGATTTTGTTCTTCTTGAGGTTGGGGAGTACCTTATTTTATTTTTTTCTGGTGCCATCTAACTCTTGTTCCATTTCCATGTGATTTTCTTGCTATAAATGTCAGACGGTGAAAACCATGAAACAGCAGACTCATCAGAAAAGTCTGACCCAAAAAATGCTGATTCCCCTCAGGGAGGGAGGTCACTAGACAAAGATAAATCTGAGGATTCAGTACCGGTTTCAAATTCATCTTCGAAAGCCAAATGTGGTAGTATTTCGGATAAAGCGGCTGTAATATTGAAGAAGAAAGTACCTGCCTTAACTGACAAGGAGTTGAACCCAGAGTTCTTCCAGAAACTTGAAACTAGGGGATCTGGGGATTTGCCTGTGGAGGTGGTTCTTCCTCGCAGACACGCTGGTTCTTCAAATGCAAACGATGAGAAATTGGAGCCAGACGATTCAAATGCCGGGGGAAGATTAAATCGCGTTGAAAACACACATTCTGATGATTTCCATAGATCATTCAACAGTAAGTATCGAGACATCGAAAGAGGTCAATTGGCTACTCATTCTAAGCTGCGGGATTATGAAGATCTCGAGCGAGATAAATGGCATGATGGGAAAATGAATGGAAGAGATTCCAGAACAAGAGCATACAATGTGAATGATCAAAATGACATATCTCAGAGGGAATCTTCTGGCGCTCGTTCTGACTTCTCCAAAATGGACACGCACTCGGAAAGTGCCTTCATAAACAACAAAGGAAGTTGGTCCGCTATCCAGAGGCAGCTATTGTTGTTGGAGAGGCAACAGGCACATTTGATGAACATGTTGCAGGTATATGCTCAACATATGCTATGTGGGGTTAGTTCTCATGTCTGAATTTTAACTTGTTATTTCACACTTCTATATCACAGGATTTCATGGGAGGCTCTCATGATAGCATGATAACTTTGGAAAATAGAGTACGTGGACTCGAGAGAGTCGTCGAAGAAATGGCTCGTGATTTATCTGTGTCGTCAGGCAGGAGAGGTAATTTTGCTCTTGGATTTGAAGGATCGTCTAATAGGCATCTAGGCAAGTATGGTGGATTTTCAGACTATCCCGGTGGCAAGTTTGGAAGAAATAATGATGGGAGGGTTGCTTTTGGAGAGAGGTTTGTTCAATCAGAAGGAATTGGTTCGAGTATGAGAGGAAGGAGTGCTGCGTGGAGACCTGATATGGCGGCGGAGACTTGGGATTATCCTGCTTATGTGTCGAGAAACGGGCAGATGTGCTCTAAGAGAACTTTAGATGGTGGCATCGACAGTAGGTCGTCTAAATCAGAGCAGGAGAGTGACCAGGGAGGTAGCAGAAGAGGCTGGGACAAAGGGGCTGGACCTTTAAGACTTGGTGAGGGGCCATCTGCAAGAAGTGTTTGGCAAGCATCGAAAGACGAAGCAACCTTAGAAGCGATTCGAGTCGCTGGGGAAGACAGCGGAATATCCAGGACTCCAAAAGTGGCGATTCCCGAATTGACTGCAGAAGCATTAGCAGATGACAATGCTGGCCAAGAACGGGATCCAGTATGGACTTCTTGGAACAATGCAATGGATGCCCTTCAGGCAGGCGACACGGAGACAGCTTATGCTGAAGTGCTCTCCACTGCGGATGACATCTTGCTCATAAAACTAATGGAAAGATCCGGTCCTGTGGTCGACCAGCTCCCCGACGAGATTGCTGCTGAGGTCTTGCGTGCCGTGGGACAATTTTTACTCGAGCAGGACTTGTTCGACATATGCTTATCTTGGATTCAACAGGTATGTCTTTTACTCAACTCCCATCGTTTTTCGAAACTTCTCACCTTTATTAAGCTGTTACGAGAATGGTGAAACTGAAACTTTGGCATGGTGTTTCAGTTGGTAGACATTATTTTGGAGAATGGAGGTGATTTTGTGGGGATTCCTATGGAAGTGAAGAAAGAAGTGTTGTTAAATTTTCATGAAGCTTCTTCAACAATGGATCCACCAGAAGATTGGGAAGGTGCTTTGCCTGACCAACTTTTGTCACAGTTGGCCTCTGCTTGGAGAATTGATCTTGGACACCTCCAATAGGCCATTTATGAACCTTTTTTTTTTCTCTCCCTTTTTGTGCTGAATTGCTGTTTTTTCCCATCCAAAATGAAATGAAAAATGGGATTTTTATATATATTTGTTTTTTTAGGTAAGTGGTTTTAGGTTAGTTTTTTGTTTGTTTCTCAATTATTTTTAAGAATGGTGATTTAATAATTCTTACATGTTAATACTATTATGTTTGGAATTATTGTTAAAAAATGTGCGAGATTAAAAGGAAGAATAGTTTCTATTTGTTCTAAAAACAAATAGATCATCTGATAGAATATATGTGCAAAAGATAATTTGTATAGAAAACTTTTAATTGCGTAGTTATGTTAAAAAATTATGGAGTTTTTACTTTTTAAAATAGATTAAATTACATTTTTAAAAATTAGAGTTTTTATTTTTTGTTGTAATAAATTTTGTTTTGAAATATTAATAGGAAGTTGAAATAGGTGGCCAATTGTGTGTATCACTGCTAATAGATGTAAGCATAAAACTTTTTTTATTATTTTTTTAGTACATGAAGTGGGGTAGAGAAATTTAAACTTATGACTTCTTGGTTAATGTCTTGAGTTATGCTTCTAGTGAATGATAATTTTTATTAACGAATATAATTTCGATTAGACTCCCTAGTGATAATTTAGTCGATTGAAATAAAGATGAGAAGAAAAAATTAATTAAAAATATATTATATATACTTGCCAATCAAAAAAATTTTCAGCTAATATAGATCTTGATTTTTTCTGCTAATATAGATTTAGAAAGAAATATGGTACCAATCCGAACGTAGCTCGATCGCACTTATTATCCTGGTGGGATGTGACTTGTGTATAAATTTTGAAAATGGATACCATCTTTCAAGTCAAACTCAAAAGAGTGCTGTACAAAGTATCATGATTTTCTTTTACAAAATTCAGTAAATTTATATAACCAATCTGTTGTTGGTTTGGAAGTGAATATGTTCAACAACACAAGGCACACCATATAATAAAAAACCACTACTTTGAACTCATCCCATAGCTCATCAAGATCTGTTGTATTATTATAGCAGAAGAGCAAAAACCAGAAGCCAGTTTCATCTTCCTCTATTCACTGCAGATGAACTTCTCTTTAATTCCAACATCAACATGGTCCAACTTATAACTGAATTCATGGGAACCAAAAATCGGGTTATGGAGGCAGCAGTATTTACTGAGTAGTTCTTATACTCTATCTGGACTTATGCCCATTAGTTTCTGTAGTTTCTTTCTGTAGTTTCTGTAGCTTCTCAATTTTCTTTTCCTAGTGGTTTCGTCGAGATGAACTTCGTCTGAAGTAGCTCTTCTGCTCGAGCCCTTGGCTGTGAACTGACTAACTGGTTCTGAAGGAGGATCGTCATTGCTTTCCTTGGAGTCTTTAGCCATTTGTTTGGAAGTTCCTGCACCTGCAACGTGATCAGACTCAACAGAATCTTGAAATCTTTGTGTGGGAGAAAATTTACTAGTGACAGAAGTGTGGGATCCGACGCCAACTGAACACGGAGTCGAACATTCGGGACTTCCTAAACTAAATGATTTAGGTGAGGTGCAGCAACCATCCCCACCCTTCACTTCCTCTATTGAAGCTGACCTCCTTTCCAAGCTTCCAGCTTCTCTGGTGGGAAAACCAGATTTACAAACCGGTTTGAACAAAACATCAAAGTCGTCGCTCTGCTCATCATCTAGGATCTCTATAATCTCATATTTCATGGAGGAACGAGAAACAGTCTCGCCGTTCTTCAACCCCATAGCTACACTTGGAGTATGGTAATCTTTAGAGCTCAATTCAACCTCAGCTGGCGACGTTTGAGAAGTATCTGAGCTTCTTCTCAAAATGTTTGGTAGTTTTCCTCCGCAAATAAACTCAGAATTCTTCCACCACTCGAAGTATCTTAACGAAACACTGGGCTCAAAGGCCCTCGGAGGAACAAAGAAGCAAACATTTTTAGGGACAATGAGCAATCCAGAGAATTCACCAGGTAAATCTTGATCCATGCCGAACTGCATCGCCACACGATGAGGCATATACCTCTCTTTACTATCAAATCCAACCAAGTAAGACATTGTCATACATATGACATAACATTGCAAATCCTCATCAGAATTCTTACCATTGTCAACTAATAAATGCTTTTCAAGTATGTAGTAAGATGAATGATTCCAGTTGCTTATATCAGCAGCATAGGGCCTCCATTGAAAGCATTGCCCTGTTATAAAGATGTTATCAACAATAGATTTTTCAATTTTAAAGGTGACTTTGTTCCAGAGTGCAGTTCTTGGTTCCCAAGGCTCGAGTTTATTTGGGGGTTTCTGTATTAGATCAGGAAAATGCTCAAAAGCCCACAATAAAACAAGTTGAAATGGAGCAAAGACATTGATTTCATCGTCATCATCATCAAAAGAAAGTGCTTTCTCCTTCAGCAACCTCAAGTTCTTATACAAGCCTGCAAGAACTGCAGGGGCTAGAGCCATCTGGGTACCTTCAGACAAATGGGCAGCAATGGAAAACACATCCTTCGAAATGGTTTCTTTAGCATGTATAGGGAAGACATACCTTGACAACCAGAGTGAGAGAAATGCCACATGCTCAAATTCACTGTCATTCTCCATAAAATGCTTCATCCAAGCTCCATGAGAAGCCTTCTTAGACCTCTCTCTTGACATTGCAGTCTTTCTGTCTCTCATGGCGTTCACTGCCATCTTCAAGGCATCTGTAGTCAGAGGCTTCTCTATGGGTTCCCCAAGAACAGAGAAACCCCCAAGAATCATCACATCTTCTAATGTAATCGTGGCTTCCCCCCAAGGAAACACAAAAGTGTTCGTCTCTGTACACCAAAACTCAGCCAAACCCAACACTACTTCCTTATTGCACCTAATCTCACAGCACGAACTCATGATGGCATCGTGAATTCCAGTATGCTTCCACATGATAGAGCGTTTTACCTCCAACTTTTCGACCCATCTATCCCAATTCTTCTGTGGCAATGCCCATCCTCTGAAGTTCACTTTCTTTGGCCACCCTTTATCTCTTATAGACATTTCTTCAAACAGTAGGTTGGCACGCCCAGAAATCCTCTCTGCGTCGGCCGAGCTCCCCGCGCATGGTTTCAGAAACCTCCCAATCCTCTCGGTTGGCTTCCCGCTTCTGGAAATGACTGTCCCGTACCTTTCTTGATACATGAAATCCGCCATTTCCATGGTAACCAGAAAAACGAAGGCGAAGAAGAAGAAGAAGAAGAAGAAGAAGAAGGGGAGGCGGAGGCTGTCGATTGAGACATTGCCGAATCCCGGTTGTGGAATCGAAATATGTATAGAGAGGCGAAATGCGGCGGAGAGTAATTTCAACTATGGATCGTTAAATTGTGAAGAGTTTCGTATGAAAAACTTCAATCGACGCCTTGCTTCATTTATTTGCCTATACTTTTTCTTAAATCATTTAAATTACAAATTTCAACTACAATCATTTTCAAAAACTTGTTTTTATAGGAGAAATTTAGATAATTCGTAGAAAAACAATACAAAAAATGATGGACTAGCCACGAGCATCTTCGACTGGAATAGCTTCGCTGTCAGACACCCAAAATTATAGATAGATAGGGAGCCCCACTCTACAGTGGTATTTGATTCTATCTCAATCTTAATATCAAGGTCGATCTTCTAAGCGGTTCATCTCGACCTGATCGGTAAAGACCATTCACTTTATTACATAGATAAGAGACTTTAAAATTAGAATTCTAAATCTATTTTGTAGATTGATTTGATGCAACTTAACTTTCAATATAATTGTTAATTTTTGCGTTCATTTTAATTTTGTGCTTCCATTTTTCATGACTTCATTTTGATGAATTTCAAGAGATTTTTGTGATAATTTTTTGTTTGACAGTCGTTACACTCAATTTTTAGTTTTCACAAAACAAAAGTTAGGATAAAAATTAAAATTTGTTTAACAATATTTTAGTGGTACAATTATATATTCCAATTTTGTCAGTGGCATTATTATTTGAAATTAGATAAATTTTTTAGTTTTTGAATAAAATAATTCTAAAAGGGGCAGGCTCTTGCACTTCCCAAGTGAGCGCCGCCACAAAAAATTTCAGATTATCAATTATTATTCAGTAATTTTTAGATTTTTTTTAATTACTTATATTCCATCTTTATATTTTCATAATTGAAAGATTATATTGTTTTAGCAGTGTAATTATATCCTATAAAATCTCTTCTTTTTTTTAATCACGAAGATTAGACTACCACGCTCGTGACTATGACATGACTTAATAATAAATTGACATAGGTTGGCCTTAAAAATTTATATTATTTTATAAAAATTCATATCTCGTCAATATATATTTCTTCTAAAACTCATTTGACGTTTCTCCTTCCCTCTTCTTCTTCTACAATTTCTCACCTTCTTGTTTTGTAACACATTATTCACTTTTTAGATAATTTAAAAGTATACAATTATCTTTTGTTTTTTTATTTGTTTTTTTATTTATTATGTTTCCTCATCTTCTAAATGAAATATTACATATATTTTTAATTATATGATTAAATTGGGAAATTCATAGTGAGAATAGTGAACACATTCATCATTCATCATCACAATTTCTAACTTTTTATTATTTTGCATGTTAATATATATATACATTCAATATTTTCATTATTTATTTTTCCTGCCTCTAAATATTTTTATGTATCCATCATTTTTGTGCAGTTAATCATAGTTCCTAACTTTTTATTATTTTTTTATGTTAATCTAAGTAATAAATGGATCTCTTGTTTTTCTATTCTTTAATAAAATTATTAATCTATTGTTGTAAACTATTTTGGTGTAATAAGGGATATGGTTTTTAATTTTATGTTAAAGAAAAAACCATATTCAGAAAAGAAAAAAAGTAGCAAATAGAAATATAAAGTAATTTACTTATTCTTCCCCAATAAATCACTCCAATTTTTTAAACCAAAAAGTGAAAGACATTCACTCCATAGGAAAGTATAAAAACCTCACAACCAAATTATATATGTGAACATATTTTTAGGTTAAATCATAATTAAAAGTGTCATGAATTTCCGGAGTCAAAGTTTTTTTTTTCCTTTTTCTTTTTAGTTTAATAATATATGAAGATGAGAAATTGATTCAATAACATTTTGATCGAAATTATAATATCTTAATCAGTTAAGCAATACTCACGTAATTTCACCGACACATGTTAAAAAAACAAAAAAAAAATATATGTTATAGTCAAATAAAATGGTAAATCAAGTAATGATGGTTCAGAAGATTTTTTACTTATGAGTTTAATAACCAATCATTGAAAATTTAAGTTTTATGTAAAATGTGTTTGAATTGCAATTTTTTTTGCGTATAGTATGTCGGGGTAGCGGATCGAATTCACAACCTTTTGGTTTGAATTGCAAATTGGTTGAATAGTTTGCGAATTTATAATGAGACCCACATGCTCGATATATGTTTGATTTATTGACTTCATAGTTTTAAGCCGTTTTTTAAGTTTCTCAATTATTCTTTACTAAATTTAATACTTTTGAAATTTTCATTTTGGTATACTAATTTCATGTAATAATCTATCTTTAACATCTGTCATTCTCTTTAAAAGAAAAAAAAAACCATCTGTCATTCAAATTTTCTATTGCATATATATATATATATATATATGTTCATTTTTTAAATTAACATCTATATTTTTAAATATTTTATTTTAATATTAAAATGTTATATAAAAATCTATCTTAATTTATACCATTTAATTTTAGTGTATAGAGTCGAGTATCATGTTTGAAAATGAATGGGGTAGAATTTAATTAATATAATACAAATTTTTTTTGCCTGAAAAGGCATATAATACTAAAATTAAAAAATAAAGAAAGCAATCATGAGATTTGTAAACCAAAAGAGGAAAAAAAAACATTGGAAAGTATAAATACCCAAATAAACATTTAAATGGTACAATAAATGAAATAAAATAAAAAAATTTATGTTTTGTGCAAAAACATATTCAATTGGTTGTTTGTCCGACAACTAATTCTATTGACTCTGATGATAATTTTTGTCCTAGAGGCTTAATTTTAAACGTAAATTCTTAAAATATGTCACAATAAAAATAATAACAATAGTAATATATATTTTTATAGCTAAATTCTAAGAAAGATTAAAAAAGAGAGAAGTTTGATTCCAAATATTTTATAATTAAAAAAAATTGACAAAATGAGTTTGAGAAATTATTGAATCAATAAATTTTAAACCATTGAATTATTAACTTCACAATGTAAATATTTCACTTTTTCTTTCTAATTTACTAATTAAATTATTATTTCTATAGGAATCCGCAAAAGGCCGAAGCCGAAGGCCCAATAAATCCAGTGGGCCCAGTTCGGTTAAAGCTCGAAAAAGAAAAAGAACGAAAAAGACTAATTGGAAGCTTTTCTCTATCAGAGCCAGGTTTCGATCCTGGGACCTGTGGGTTATGGGCCCACCACGCTTCCGCTGCGCCACTCTGATTATTGAGAAGCAAAGCAATACTTTATTTATATAAAGTAGATAACAATTCCAATAAATAAGACAAACATTCAGAAAATCTTAAAAATTATTTATGACGTCATATTATATATTTTATTTACATTGTTTTAATATTTTTGAAGCTTTAAATTTATTCTCATTATGTAAAATTTTTTCAACAAGATCTCTACACATCGCAACCTTCTCTAAATTCGTGATGTTATGAAAATCGGTAGTTCTTTAAATAGATGTAAAACAATTTTTTTTAATCTTCTTTCGGTAATTAAGTTAAATGATTTCATCAATAGAAATTTAGTTAAGCAGTTAATGCATTTGTATCCACACTCCAAAAAATATATATATCTATCGATATAATCTTAGTGGTAAATAATACCAATATATAATTAAGAGGTCACGAATTCCAATCCTCTACACCAATTGTATCACACACACACATATATTTATATATATATATATATATATATATATATATAATCTATTTTCTTCGTGCTAATGATTATTATGAATGAGAAAAATAATTGTTATTGGTGGATATAAAAATATAATTTATATCATGATGTGAATGATAGATTGAGGATATGGTAGATATGACACTAGTGATTTTATTTTTGGATGCACAAAACATTTTTTAATCATTAAATTCCTATGAAATTTTTATTTATTTTGTTTTGATCTATAAATTTTAAAATATTTCATTTTATTTAATTTCTTAAGTTACACAATTCTATTTAATCCATAAACTTTTAATGTAGTATTTCATCTACATGAATATCTATGGATCATCTCTATCTATATATCAATCTTGTTAAATAATTTAAAGTCCAAAATTGAAAAAGAAAAAAAAAATTCAAAAACTAAAATAAGATTTGAACTTTTTTTTTTTTAATGTTTCTCATGATCGACGAGGAAGTATAACTCGATGACATTTGTAATGTAGAAGATTCTTTTATTAGGCAATGAAATGACCCTATGAACAATGATGAAAGTGTTTGAAATATAATTCAATTGTGGATGTGAAAATGCCCAAATACAATACATAAAGTTTTGTTCATGGTTAATTTACTCTCCAACTATATAATTTGTGGTGCTTCTTCCATTACCATAATTTTATTTTTCATATATGTGTAATGTGCTTCCCCATCTTTTGATAATTTCTAGTGCTCCCACTACCTAAAGATAGGGAAATTTGTAGTAGTGTATAATGTCACATAATCCATTTTATTTAGAATTGAATCGTGATCCTCGATGTATTAGTTTGATCTTATAATAAGAACGCATAATTATTATTGCTATAAAACAAGATCGGATGTTAGCTTTTGTTATCTTTACTTAGAGAAACAATTGGAAAGAAGTGAGTCGATCGTTGGAACTATTGGTCTTGGAATCAAGAATAGATAGGCTTGCTTTTTAATTGAATTAAATTTTTTATCCAAACTTAAACGTAGGTTTATGCTTTTGTTCGAAGAATCTGAAAATCTAGATTTGATTGCTGTGTCGAATAGGGGAAGAAAGAAAAATTCTTGTTTTTATCCATCCAGTTTGAGCTCTGTATTATATATACACAAGAAAGAAAAACTTAAACTAAAATTTGTTTGACAATAATGATTCTTTTCAACTATGTAATTATTATTAAATGATTATTTTATTTTTAATTATCAAAATCAAATATAAATTATTTATTTTAGTGCAACGAGTATGAGAAGATGGAGGATTGAATCTTCGATATCTACATAAGGAACAAGATGTATCAACTGTTGGGTTATATTTATATTGATAAAAATATAAATGGTCAATAAAGGAGATCATAAGTTAAGAAAAGAGAAATAAGAGATATTTTGAATCGAGAGGGAGGAGTTAAGAATAGAAAAAATATAAACTTGTTTTTTAATTTTAATTTTTTTTAGTACAACGGAATTCGAACCAACAATCTCTTAGTTTGAGACATATGTCAATTATTGCAAAGCTATCATCACTTTGACTTTTAATTTTTTTAATTTTACTCACAATTTGAAAAAATATTTTTAAAATTGGGTGTAAATAACCATATTTTTCAGAAAAATGAGAAAGTCATTAAATAAAAATGAATTGAATATCAAGCTCGGAAACCCAAAAAAAAGGAAAAAAAGAAGTTTCCCAACACATTTTCCAATTTTAAAATTTGGTTAACATTTCAAAAAGTCTTTTTTTTTTTCAAATATGGAAAAAGAAAAAAGGAACAAAGAAAATAGATGTATATGTAGTTTCATTAACTTAATTTTTAATCATAAACAACAAGAAAAAAATTTGTTACTTATTTATGAAAAATATATTTTCAAAAGTTGTTCATTCACTGGATAATAAGAAAGGTAGATTAAACCCTTCTAATTTAGAGTATAATTAGCTAGGGTGCCTCAACATTTTTTATAATATTACATGAAAAATCTAGATTTGCGCCCAACTCAACAGCTATTTTTTTTTTTTTGATAAAAGGAAAAAATATCTCCTCGCTCTGGAAAATTGATATCACTCCATTTTTAATATACATATTAAGACTGAACTTGTTTGGATATATCTAAGTATATCGTGCCACATGCCTCTCAAACTTTCTATTGCGCTTGTCATTAAAGTACTCTTATATATTTACCTTCCTTCTGTCTCGTAACTTAGGTTAAATAAAGTACCATTGAAAAAAGAAATATCTTTAATCAAATCAATTGTTATTTTTTATTGAATCACAAGAAGGTGTGAAATATTATTTTCAAGTTTTAAAATTTCTTCCATATATATAAATCACGATCAAAGTTTTTACCGCTAGACATGAAGTAAGTATTTCTCYTATAAATATATCAATCTCTAATCTCTTTAAACCAATGTCCCATATCATAGTATTTTTCCCCTTACAAAACTCTTATGTGAGTTTTTATGGCTTCTTCTTTCAGTAACACCGTTAGTTTTCTCCTTTACACCGTTGTTGTCGTGGTCCTTCGGGTGCCACAATCGATAGGGGCGGTGCCATTACCGTTTCACCCCCGCGATGTGCTTCCTTTGTTACCCAATCGAGTCGCCCGACCAGTCCTCAACTCTTTGAGCAGTGCTGTCGATCTCCTGCCGAAGTTCGTCGGGGCTGCCATGTCCGATCCTCAGAAACCTCTCACGTGGTCAGGTTCTTGCTTCCGCAAGAACTCTGCTTGGTTGGACTTGAGGAGTGATGGTGGCACGCTTCATATTGAGGTGCTCTCTATTAAAATTTTACATTAAATTAATGTCACGAATTCCATAACTTTATAAATTACAAAACCAATCACAAATATAAAATTATTTATTGATTAATTTTAAAAATAGTAAATCGATGACGAACCTGAGCATTATATATTTTCGACCTTGAAAGCTGTTTTTGGTGTATTTTTATTGACTAAAAAGTTTGGTGGAATCCATTTATTTATTAAATGCAACGGAAACAGATCGCCAATAAAAATACCAATTTTCAGTAGACAAACCTCTTTATACAACATGTCGAGCATAAATCAACGAAAATTGGCATATATCTCCAACCAAGAGGTTGAATTCCCACCCCACACATTGTACTAAAAAAAATAATTAAAACATATCAAACGTTAAAGCGAACATAACTCAACAGTAATTGACATATATCTCCAGAGATTATGACATATATCTCCAGAGATTATGAGTTCGATCATCCATCCCCAGTAACATTATATTTTAGTCTAACATTTTAGTTTTTGCAAATATGGCAAAAAAAAAATTGTAAATCAGATTTTTTTTCTTTCCTTTTGTTATTAATTATGATTTTACATTCTTTTTGAAAATTAAGAAATCGATATTAGTAGTAAACTTGATATTATCTTGTTATATATGCAAACAACCCTAAAATTTATAACCATTAATCCCTAACCATAAAAAGTTCTGCAACGATTTAATTTTGTTAGTTTCTAAGCAGATTTCATTCCTAAAAGATTTATTGATGAAGTAAAAAACTCCATTATACATATTTCAAGGAAAAAAAAACTCCATTATACAATTTATACTATACTATACCTTGATCAGAGTTTACAAAAAAACCCAAAAAAAAAAGACTAAGTTTATTACTTAAATGAAAATAAAAGAAACTGTAATATTATATTGGTGTGGATTTTGCAGGTGGGCGATGCTGTAAGTTTGACATGCATTGATCTCTATGTGTTCGCAACGCCAGATCGAGCGACCGGCGATTACTATTTCAGATCCAAAGAGCACACGTTCGAGTTCAAACTCTGGGAAGACGAAGCCGAATATGAATATGTAAGAATCAAAATCAAAATCAGAAAACAGAGCACACACAAATTGAATCAATTAATCGATCAATCGGTCGAAATCGATGTTCAATCCTGACGGATTTTTGTGGAATGGAATATGAATATGTAAGAATCAGAATCAGAATCAGAATCAAAATCAGAAAACAGAGCACGCAAAACACAACACACAAATTGAATCAATTAATAGATCTATCTGTCGAAATCGATGTTCAATCCTGAAGGATTTTTGTAATTAGGTGAAAGAGAAGGGGATATCGATTTTTCTGATGGAAGCGGGGCTACTCGGAACCCTAGAGGCGTGTTTCGAGGCGGTTCCTCTGTTCATGAACGACGAGGAGGGAGAGAAGGCTAACCTGAGGTTTCTGGAGAAGAACATGAAGGCGAGCTTCACGGAGCGGCCACCGGCGGCGTGGATTTCCGACGTGGACGCCGACGACATTAACTCCGGCGATTTTCTTGCTCTGTCCAAGATCCGCGGCTCCTCCGGCGCTTTCGAGACGCTGGAGAAATGGGTCACCGGAGCTTTCGCGGGTCACGTCGCGGCTTTTATAAGGGATCCCCAAGGGAAGCTCTGGGTCGCTGAATCCGGCCGCGAAAGTGATCAGGTGCGGTCCTAAATTTATTTTTATTATTGTTATTATTTTAGTCCTGAATTTATTTATTTTTTTCATTTTTTATTTCGACCCTTGAATTTTCTAAAATTAATGAAAATTACTATTTTTGGTTCTTATTATTATTTTGCTACTTCATATATATATATATATATATATATATATATATATTTTTTAATGCCACTTTGATGAATATTATTTGAAATCATCCTTCCCTTTAAGAGAGCAGGATGAATATTTAGCCATAAAAAAGTTCCATTATATATAAAATTGTGCGGTGTGTTTGAGAGTATATATTAGGGAGAAGTGATAGCATTGACAGCATGGGAAGAATGGTGGGAGATTGAAAAGAAGAAAGACAAAGCAAATCCCCACATTGCATTGCTTCGTTTGAGCTCAGAAATGAGAGCCAAATTCAACAACACCGCTGCATGGGAGTTCGTGAGCAAAATGAATGGCAAGACATATGGCTACCACAACCTCATTTTCAGCTGGATCGACACCTCCACTGCAAACTATCCTCCTCCCCTTGATGCCAATCTCGTAATAAGAAAAAAAAAACCTACAAATATCATGTTGATGCCGAATTCTGCTGAGGACTCGAAAGTCGTCCACATTTTCATCAAAATGAGCTACGAAGGAGCGAGCCATTGCAGGTCTTCCAAAAGCTCACTCCTCTGTATAGCTCATTCGGTTGAAAATGTAGCCGACCTTCAACTTGGCAGAATTCGATATAAATTATATCTTAATGGTTTAAGTTTAATGAGGTTTGGTTTAATTTCTTCATTTTTAGATTGCTGCTGCCATGACTGTGTGGAATAAGTTGAAGCCTCAATCTGCTACCAATCTTTGGAATGAAGCTTTGAACTTGAGACTTGGAACTCAGGTGATCAACTATATTAACCCTAATTCAAGTTTTAATTTGTTTTCATCTCTAAACTTTTCRATATCTAAATATTATATTTTTCGTTGTCTTCTATGTTAATTTTTTTTTTCATTAGTCATTATTAAATTTAATTTTGAATGATATTGATATTGATTTGTAGCTATAAATTGGTTAATTTAATTTAGGAGCATGCAATTTTAACAGTAGCAACAAAATTGGAAGGACAATATGTATAAAACTCTACCAATTGCCACTGAACTATATTCGTTTTGACATTTATTATATACTTATTGTTATATATATATATATATATATATATATATATATATATATTTATGGTTACATATTTAGAAAAACATTAAATAGCAATACTAACAATTTTTTTTAATAATTTAAAGATCAAAACATAAATGTTTAGAAGTTAGGGACCCAATGTAATAAATGGACTACACTTACTTTCAATTTGTTGTTCGAGACCCACCATTAAACAATATATGACTTATTTTGGTTTAAGCATAATTCAACGGGTTAAAACATGTATCTCAGRCCAAAAGATCGTGAGTACAAATTCTCATCCAACAAATTGTTGTACTGAAATCAATATTTAAGTTGGGTCGGTTTGATTGGGTTGATAGGGACTTGATTTTCCCCAAATATTAGAGGAAGTTCAGCAGAGAGGATCATCTTTTGACAAACTACTGGCAATTCCAGAACAAGACAATTGGATTTATGACAATGGAAAATCAGTAACATGCGTTGCTTTTGCTGTTTCAATGTACAAGGAAGCTGGCCTGTTTGGTCCCCTTGCTCCCACTGTTCAAGCCACAGAGTTCACTGTAAGCCTCCATTTTTTGTTTTCTTTCCAAAGCTAAATATATGTTCTACTCGCTATAAATGTTTGAGCGTTTTTTCAATTTGGTTCTTCACGTCTTAACATTTGTCAACTATACGGTCCTTTTTTTCATTGGTAAATGTTAAAACTTAATGAGTTGACATGCTATTTCCTCCCCAACTTTTAAGAAATTGATAGAAATTTTGACTTTTTTTATTTTAATTAATTAGATAGAAATTTTGACTTATTTTATTTTAATTAATTAGATAGATGGCATAATTTTTTCTTTAAATTTCTACTAGCTCATTAAACCTCATGTCAGGTAAATCAATTTAACATTCGCAAAGGGAAGAAAATAGAATTAAAAAATGTTAGAACATAAGGGACACTATTAAAATTTGTTAAACAATCCGAAATAAATTGCGAAAGCACATCAATATTAGGAACTAAAATGACATATATTTAGTATTTTTTTTATCATGTCCTTTAATGACAAAGACAAGTAGTCCTAGAAACCAAACTAAAATTCCCTCTTTGGGATTAATCTAATTTCTATTCAAAATCAAGAACCTAATTCTTAGTTAATCTTGGATGCAAACTCATCAAAACTAAATACGAACTGAAATTCTCTATATTGGGTATTATTTGTTGTTAGTCTTTACCACAAACAATATCTATAGAAGAAACCAAAGTGAGCATATAACTCAGCGATTATTGGCATAAATCTCCAATCAAGAGGTTGTAAGTTCGATCGATCATCACCTGCACYATGTTGTACTAAAAAAACAATATCTATAGAAGAGTGCATGACAATTAAAAGTAGCTAAAAACCGAACACGATTTTGCGATGCTTTGCAGGTAAAAGATGGGTACACATTGAAATTTTACGAGGATGAGCTAAGTAAGCTGCCAAAATGGTGCAATGAGGGAGACTCAGTGAAGATGCCTTATTGCCAAATATTGGGAAAGTATAGAATGGAACTGCCTGAATACAACACCATTGATCCATACAAACATATGAATGAGAACTGCCCTTCTTTGCCACCAGACTATGCCAGGCCAAATGATTGCTAGAAAAAATTAAGTCCCTTTTTAACTTCATCACTCTCTACCAACTACTTTTATCTTTGTTGTATCATGTAATAAAGTTGTGTAATAAAGTTAGGTGTCGCTTTGCTTATGAATGAAATAACGTGAGAGTGTAGAAGTGGTTTCTCAAATGTTAAAGGCTCCGTTTACTTATCAAGAATCAGAATGATAAGAAATTAGTATGAAATCAAGTCATTGTTAATAGATAGAGAAAATGCAAAAGTTGTTAATTAATTAGTGAAAAGGCCTGGGTTTGGAAACAAAGAATGGAAGTGAAATTGATGAAGTTTTTGGAGAATAATAATATTCCTTTTTGAGGAGTGATTATGTTTTTCTTCAGTAAAACGATGGAGATTCGAACTCACGATGTTTTGATAGGAGATCCATGTCAGTTGAATTATGCTTAGGTTGACCACAAATTGATTTCATTAAGTGATTGAATGTGAGTAAAAATTACCAAATTTATTGACTATTTTTTAAGTGGATCAATTTTAACCAAAGGAGAAATATTAATAAAATTTATGTAGTGGTGAGCTTTACTTTGACTTTAACTCAATTTAAAATTATAAAGATTAAATTGAAAATTTTAAATGTATGTATCATAACTTTTAATTTTTTTATTTCAATTTTTCCATAGTTTCATTCTTCAAATTTAAACAAGTTGTTTTAGTCTAAACAAAATCATAATCTGAGGATATTAATAAATTAGAAAATTAATAAATTAGAAATTGAAAATAGATGGAATAGAGAGAAAGTAAAATTGAGGGACAAAAATGTTATTAAGTTAAAAGGAAAAAAAAACAATTTATTGATATTAAACATTTATTTTTAACTTACTAATTAAATTAGTATTTATTGTAGACGCTCAGCAAATGCCCAGAAGGCCCATCTCTCTAAAGGCCCASTTTCTAATAAAATCGGAAAAGTAAAATGTAAAAAACGTTAAAAAAAAATATCTATTTAGGAATGATAATTAAAAAGTATATAATTTCCATAATACAAATTAGTAATATATCTATAACATCTCAATATTAAAATATATAATTGGTAAATGGRGACAAAATCCCTTAAAACATGTTAAATCCATTAAATCCCTTCAAACTTACGCCTCCCAAAATTGAAAAATCTCTAAACCCCCAAATTTTYGAAATCTCCGTTCTTCTTCCTCGTCTTTCTTTCCTTCCTCCAACGGTCGAGTTTCCCTCCTCCGAACCTCCGTTCCTCTTCTCTGACCGTCGTCGCTGTCTCAGTTTCTCTCTAGCAACTCCGCTTTTCTTTGTCGTATATTATTTCATCTTCGGCCGCCTTCGCAAGAGCATTTCATTCCGTCGGTTCCTATTATCTGGTAGTTTCTGCTTGCATTCATTTTTGGCCGACGTTTTCTATTTTTCTCAGTCGCCAGAGCAGTTCATCTCCAATTTGAAGGGTTTGCACTCCATCTGATAAGTTTCAATTTCTGATTTCGTTTGTTTAAAATATTGTGTATATGAGGATATATAGTATAGTAATTAGATTAAGATATATATTATAACTCAAGTTTTATATATCCGGATATATACTGATGGTGATTTAAAACTAAAAATCTTGTAGATATATACTGCATACACTATTATACTGGTGGATATATATCATTAGTGATTTTCATCTTGGCTTTCTGATGTTTATGTTATTTTGTGGATATATACTGATAGTGATTACATCTTGCCTGCCTACAATATTATTCTGGTGGATATAAACGAATAGTGATATATACTGATGATTTACATACTGCCTACAATATTTACATACTGCCTACATACTGAAAGTGTTCTTATGGTACCTATCTACCTCTAAGTATTAACTAGTTTGAATTAGAACAATAACTAAAGGAGAAAGTTGTAATATATTAAAGTTTATATGTGATTTAGATTATATCYAGATAAATTTTATATCTCGAAAAGTTTAGTCTATGTTATATCGAATATATTGTATATTTAATATATTATACTTACTACCCTGTCTTATAAAATTTCATGGATATAGTGATAAAAGTACATTTACTTACATGAATATAAATCATATCTTACTTAAAAGGTGTTTATACATAATGTTAATACTAGATTTCAAAAGTACAAGTAGAATATATGTTATAGTAACGAAACAACATGAACATAATTTATACCCATGTATAGAAATAGCTATAATTTAAAAAAAGAAAATAACATTCATTTATACTCATATTTCCTTCGATGTATAGATAAACTGTGTTTTTATTCTCCTTTGAATATTTGCGTCAATCAATACGTACTTCCCATTAATTATCTTYTGTTAAAGGATATATAACACACACATAAATAATAATTAGACATTTSAAAACCAGTGGAAGCCATAGATGGCCTCAAACATATTAGAAATAAGACCTTGCCAAATTTAATGAGCATCTAAACCTCGTAAAATTGATTTCATTAAAACAAACATGGCACTCAAACAATAAAAGAAAACAATGTGAACGACAGTGCAAATATTCAAGCAATATGGGTATGAATGAAGGAATGAATGAACTGTACCTGTTGAAATATTCAAACAATCAAACAAAAAACTAAAACTCAAAGAATGAGTATAAAAAAGAATCGTACCAACCAAGCTGAGGATGATGAGAAGATGCTGCGCCCACAATAATTAAGATTTTGATATTTTTTTATTTAATAATATTGGTAAATAAAAAAATCAATATTTTGAATGAGTAAATTAAGGTGTTGAAGGAGTTAGGGGTGCACACAAAGGGAGGTAAAACTGACCCGACCGAACGAAACAGACTGAAATAGGATCGGTCGATCGGTTTTGAAAGTGTATGGGCAATCGGTCGGTCGGTGGCTTTATAGTACTGTCGGTCGGTGGTTGGCAGAAAAAAATCCCCAAAAACCGACTGACCCTGATCGACATATATTTTGTTGAAAAAGAATATTATATATATATATATATAATAATAATAATAATAATATAATAACATATTATATTATATTATAGAAATTACTAATTTCAAATTAGGTTTACAACTTTACACCCCCTCGACGCACGCTGCACGGCCTCCCTCCCTCATCCCATTTCATCTCTGTCTCTCTCACACTCACAGTCTCTCTCTCCTTCGTGACCTCGCCGTCGCCGGTTCAATTCACTCTCAATCGCCCCGCCGCACTCCGCAGCAAGTGCTCGCTGTCGCTGTTGCACACTGCAACGAGTTCCTTCTCCTTCGTCGCGTCGCCCATCGTAGCAACGCCACGTCGCCGTCATGTCGCCCGCCATAGTGACGCCACGTCGCCGTCGATCAGTGCGTATTTCTCTTCTATTCTCTCCATTTTCTCCGTTTTCTCTTATATTCTCTCTAGAAAAATATATAAAAAATAAGACACTGATTTAAAAAAAAATCCGTTTCGGTGGAAATCGACCGACCGACCAACAATTTGGTCGATCGGTTATATATATAATGTTCGGTCAGTCGGTTGGAATTTCAGTCTAATAATGGTCCGAGCGATGTGCAACCCTAGAAAGAGTGAATTAAGGGATTTGAATTGAAAATTAACATATGATCCACAATAATTAAATGATTATAATAATTAAATATTTTATATTATAAAAAAGTAAATAACTATAATAAATGTAAATACAATAATTAAGAGTAAATTCGAAATTAAAATAAAATTCTGAAATTAAAATTGGAAAATTTTAGAGGTAAATAAATTTCTGAAACCACCCAATATATTATCTAGGGCCCACCACACCTCATTATTGAGAATATAAATCATGACATGTATTAATTAAAATAAAAAAAAATATTAAAACAGTACAAACACTAAAACGGAATAAAATAAAAATTTGATGTCTTTTGTTCAATTAGTTTTTGTAATAAAAAAATGTTCAATTAGTTAGTTTGTTTTTTTTTTCTTTTTTTTGTGCAAAGGATCAATTAGTTGTTTTCTAGATTATTAATTCCGTTGACTACAATAATGAAAAATTTTCTCCTAAACGTTTAATTTATAGAAATCTCCAAACTTATATTTCAAACATGTTGTTATAATAATAATAATAATAATAATATATTTTCTTCCAAATACATTTAATTAAAAAAATTAATAAATGAGTTTAAGAAATTATCCAATCAATTCATTTTAAACCTTAAAATTAGTATTAATATGAAAATATTTTACTTTTTGTTTCTAATTTTCCAATTAAATTTTTATTTTTTATTTATCGAGATGCGTCCGCAAGAGGCCCAACCCAAGGCCCAATAAAGCAGTGTGCCCTGTTCGGTTAAAGCCCGAAAAAGAAATAGTCCAGTGTGCCCAACTCGGTTGAAGCCCAAAAGGAAAAAAAAGCGAATTGGAAGCCTTCCTCTATCAGAGCCAGGTTTCGATCCTGGGACCTGTGAGTTATGGGCCCACCACGCTTCCGTTGCGCCACTCTGATTGTTGAATCGTAAACGCTTTATTTTCTATATATAATAAAATTGTTGATTTACACTTTCATTTGAAGAAAGTAAATCTAAGATTTTTAATGCAATAGCTTTTAACTTGAAGAAAAACAAAAAGTTATTTTATTTTTAAACTTCTTAATTTATAGATTTCAGAATATATATTAAACTTTTTTTTTTCTATACAAATTTTCACCTGAAATTTTACCCAATAACACTGTTAAATAAAATAAACAACATTGATGTAACAAATTTCTATTAACGACTTTTCAAATAAGTGTGCAACTTCCTTTTTCTTTTAGTAGTTAGGTTGGATGAATTTTCACAAACTATCAAATATGAAGGTAAACAAAAATAAATTTAAACGTGACCATTATTGAAATTCACACTTCTATAATAGTCATCGATATTGTTTTTCTTGAATTTTATTGAGACATCATGGTTTGCACCTCAATATCATGTCTTTTTTKACGGTGACTCGTGACTGAGCAAACTAAATTTTCTAAARCGTTGTAGATCAAGTTAGAAAAACTCTAAGATATATTTTTAGTCAAACCATGTCTACTCCTAAGGTACTTATAGTATGACTTTAATTTAAAATCGATACATCATGYCAACTATCGTGACACCTAACAATTAAAATAACATATGTTAGCTCTATGAACCATAAACAAAACCAGTAAGAGGTTCAATAAGATATGGCTTAAACCTTATGACAAAGTAATAAAAATTAAGCAAGGTTTAGGTTCACCTAATAGTTATTAGCACAAAAGAAAAGTAAAAAAAATGTGAATAAACSAGTGACATCCACTCTCTTAGAATCCTTAYGAACCTTTTAACAATCAAATATTGAAGGATTAAACAAATTTTCGAGATTAGACTAGTGAAGAACTTAACCAACTTTGAAATTAACATAGTCATCGAGATAATAGAGAAATTTTGAAGMAATAAATTTAAAATTTCACATATCTAAAATATTAAAATCGTACTGCCTCACAAATATTATAAGTTAAAAAAGGATAACACAAATCAAACAAATGTTAAAAATTTAACAATATTAGAAGGTTATAACTACACYTCAAATCTATAAAATTTTGCTAAACTAGAATCATATGTACGAGATTAAAATGTCAAAGATTAAGAATCGATTCTAAGTATTTATCCAAATATTGGAGGAGGGTCAGRTAGCATRAGATTAATCGAGATGCGCGAACGAYATAAAAAGTTTATTCCAAAAAATAGGTCAAATTATATTTTTAACCTCGAAAAAGTGTTTGTGTCGATAGATCCACAAAATGGCCATGCGTTTGCGTGCTTCCTCGAACTATTTGCAATCCATTTCTTCGGATTACTCTCCTTCTTCTCTCACGTCTCTCTCTCTCTSTGTTGCTCGCACATTTCATGGCGTTTTCTTCTTCTTCTTCTTCTTCTCAATCTTCTCGTTCTATGATCCCCACAACTTTTCTTCTACTTTCAATCGTGGGTTTTCTCCTTCCATCGCAAACGCTGGCCCTGAAATCGCTGTTTCACCCCCGGGATGTGCTTCCCCTGTTACCCAAACAGGTCTCGTGGCCGATTCTCAACTCCCTCAACAGCGCCGTCGATCTTCTTCCCACTTTCGTCGGCGCTGCGTCCTCTCCCGACAATTCCATTCAGTGGAAAGGCGCCTGTTTCTATCAGAACACGGCTTGGATGGAGTTTCATAATAAGTCTGGCTCCGAATTTGGCGGTGGCACGCTTCATCTAAAGGTGCGGATGGACGAGCTCTAATTTGAGTTTTTTTGGGTTTTGAATTTTGATTTATAAGTTATATGGCAGTCAGTAAGTTGGAAGAATGAGCTCAGAGTTCACTATGTGGATTTGAGGTCCTAAATTGATCGCCATATGATTCGTGTCACTCGTCTTGCTTTAATTGATCGATAGAAGACTTTTCCCTTTGGATTATTTGTTTGTGTTTTTACGAGCTGTGGGTGCCCGAGGTGATCGTGATTCTTCATTTATTTGGTTTGTCTGTTTGATTTTTTTGATAGGAAACTAGTTTCATTTTCTTTTTTCCTTCTGTTTTTTTTTTTTCATTTTGGGATTTCATATATTAGACGAATGAGGATTGTGCGTTTTTGAGATGTGTCATATTTTAGGCCTCTTCTCTACATTAGTGATGGGCTAATAATAAAAAGACTCTCTTTTTTAGTTTATTTTGATGCTGCCCTCTTGCATGTTGTTTTTACAATACAGACATTTACCAGTTTGCAAGCTTGATGTGCTCCAAAAGTTAATAGATTTTATTTTCAGGTTAGCAAAGCACATAGTTGGACGTGTATGGATCTTTATATCTTTGCAACTCCATACCGCGTGACGTGGGATTACTATTTCCTGTCCAGAGAACATACTCTGGAGTTTCCARAATGGGAAGGGAAAGAAGAATTCGAATATGTAAGTTGCTGGCACGCTGCTCCCTAACAAGCTGATTTTTTATTATTTTTTTTAAAGTTAGTACTTGCTTTTTAAATGTGGTTGTACCTTCTGAAATCAGGTTAAAAATACAGGGGTTTCAATTTTCCTCATGCAAGCTGGAGTGTTGAAAACCCTCCAAGCACTCTTTGATGTCCTCCCTTTGTTTTCAAATTCTGTACGGGGTGAGAATTCTAATGTTAAATTTCTTGAGAACCACATGGGTGCTACCTTTGAGCAACGCCCTCAGCCATGGATTACAAATGTTAGCATCGATGATATTCACTCTGGAGATTTTCTTGCACTGTCCAAAATTCGTGGAGCATGGGGTGGTTTTGAAACTCTACAGAAGTGGGTTACTGGATCATATGCTGGTCATTCTGCTGTTTGCTTAAGGGACTCTGAAGGAAAGTTGTGGGTTGCTGAATCTGGGCGTGGAGATGGAGTGGTATCTTTTTGAATCTACTTGACATGCATTTGAGTGCTCTAATACTATTGCTAATAATGGTCATTTTCTATTTTGAGTTTAAGATATATATATAATGTCTATGTCTCATCTAGTAATATAGGAAGATACTGTTTAATGTCTCTAATGTGGATCRACTTGGATCATCATTTATTAAATAGCTACAAATGAAATTGTTCTGAGGTTATACTTTCAGTCTCTTMACCGTCTTCATGGTCTCTCTTGTTTAGCACCCCTTGGCAACATTTATTGATTCCTAACAATTGTCTACCAAATTGTTTCAAAGATAGGCGAATGACCGATCCTCCCTTTCATGATGGCACTTTGCTTTTGGCCTACCTGAACTTTATATGGGGTGGCTTTATAATCCCCCTTTTCGAGATATGGGCACAGTCGTTTGATGGACTTTTGTTTGCTATTTAGTGGAGTATTTAGCTTGAGAGGAATGATAGAGTTTTGAGAGGAATGATAGAGTTTTTAGAGGGATTGAGAGAGCCTGAAAAGAGGTGTGGGATATTGTTAGGTTTAACACCTGTTCGTGGGCTTTGGATGGTTACYAAACAGTTTTATAATTATCAATTAGGTGTTACTCTTTTKGATTTAGGTGTTAYTCATTTGGATTGGAGTCCGTTTAGTTTTGGGACTCCATTTTAAGGGGCGGTTTTTTRTGTGCCCTTTTTTCTTTTCCTTTTTCTTTTCCCTTTGTTTCATTTTTCTGAAAGATTGTTTTTTCACAAAAAACACATTCTATAATTTTGCAGATCAAGATGGATCCAATTTTCTTGTTGATGTTTTGCTCCAATAATGGATTTCTTACTTGATGACCTGGCTCTRCAAGGTTCATCTTTTAATTTTGGTGGGAACATAGAGTGGTGGTCAGAGTCCAATTTTCTTGTTGAGGTTTTGCTCTAAGCTGTCTGGGTGGTGGTCACTCTGATCAAGGTTGTTGGGTGGTCTCCTTCCTAAAATATGTTTCTTATACTTAAAATATATGTTTCTTATACTTCTGTAYAAGCCCATCCTAAGCCCACCCCCTCTGCCAAATACACCCTTTAGGGTAAAGTTGAAGTTCCTAGGAACAGAGTCAGAATCCTTTTTTGTTTTGTGCCAGAGGATGTTAAACCTTTAGATTTTGGCCTTTCTTTTGCATGTTTGTATTTTAGGTGGTCTTGTTTTTTATAAGTTGTTTTTGCTTAAGGGGATGTCATATTATCTTAATTCACTGTAATTATCTTTCTTTTCTAATAATTGTCCTGTAATCGAACAATCTTCATCAAGTTTTGTTCTTTTTTGTTATAATATTCAAATTACTCAAATAAACCAAATATTCAGTTAAGAATGATACTGAATTTAAAGCTAATGTGTGCTTTTATTCTTCTTGCAGGATGATGACATTATCGATGTTTTACCATGGGATGAGTGGTGGGACTATGAACTCAACAGYGATCAATCCAATCCCCACATTGCATTTCTTCCTTTGCATCCCGATTTGCGGGCAAAGTTTAATGATACTGCGGCATGGGAGTACGTATGGAGCATGGTTGGGAAACCGTATGGTTATCATAACTTGATCTTTAGCTGGATCGACACCAAGCGTGGAAACTATCCGCCTCCCTTGGATGCGCATCTGGTATAGATATATTCTTATTGTACTGTTTTTCCCATCTCAAGGTTTGGAGCTGTTTTTACCATTCTCCAGTCTACCGTGCCTTAGTATTGTAACACTAACATTCGGTATATAGTATGACTGCTTCCAGCTCTTCGATTTATTGGAGATATAATTTGATCTTTCCATTACTCCTTTTCAAGTTATGTAGTTAATAGACTTGACATGTTATTCCTTGTAGTGGTAGTTCTTGAGATATTATTGGTGGCTATGATGATTCCAAGGGTTCTATTTATTCTATCAACATGAGTAAAAAGGGGTAGTGTAAATGAGRATTGGAACCTAAATAAAATTAAGTGTAAACTTTTCTCAAGTATGTTTTTATATTTAATTTTGCTCTCAGTGTGGCTTTTGTCATGGCAGCTCTTGAAGAATTTTATTATTTAATTCTTCGACTTTGATTGTTGGCACTATTGGAGCACAGGTTGCTTCTTTCATGACAATATGGAATCAAGTGAAGCCAACACTTGCGGCAAATTTGTGGRATGAAGCTTTGAACATACGACTTGGAACTCAGGTAGTTATGATGCTTGTCCCCAAGGGATAGCTTTGACTTTGCTTGTCCCCAAAGGATAGCTTGGGTGGCTTGGGGCCTCAAGTAATAACCTTGAGARGTCTTGGGTTTCATAGGACGCAACTTCCACCAAGCGATGACTCCTATGTACGGGTAYGAGAACAATGCGCATACTCCCCAGGTATAGAGGCATAAAGGCCAAAGGGCTGCCGACTCCTGGGTAGAAAAAAAAARTAGTTATGATGTTTTCTAAAATATAATTAAATACTACTGTAAATTGGAGAGTACTTTTGTGTGGTTCAAAATATTGCACACTCTCTTCAAGCTTTAACTTCATGTATAGTCTACTAGCATAATTTCTTGAAAATTTTATCTTCAATAATATCTTGATGGTATATCGTAAGTGTGATTAAATCCCGAGTTTCTTGCAGGGCCTCGAACTTGCTGAAATTTTAGTTGAAGTTGAAAAGCGAGGATCAACTTTTGGTGATCTACTGGCTATTCCTGAACGGGATGACTGGGTCTATGCTGACGGTCAATCAGCATCTTGTGTTGCTTTTATCCTTCAAATGTACAAGGCGGCCGGGCTTTTTGGTCCACTTGCTAGCTCAATTGAAGTCACTGARTTCACAGTAAGTCTGATGAGAATGTTGTGCTATCTGTTTGGGCCAGTTTATGCCATTCCTATTATTTTGTGCTGTTTGTGTGGACAATTGACATTGAAGAAACTAAAATTTTATGGCAGAGGAATATTTTAATGTCCCTYCCATCATTATATCTTTTAGGTTTTTTTGGGATCAGTAATAATTTCAAGGTGTGCGTGAGCTAGYCCGGACACTTACGAATATAAAAAATAAAATAAAATAAAAAAATAAAAAAATTGGATAAGAGATAATTTCATTGATGAGATGAAATTACAAAAGGTGGGAGAGAGTGCCCCATTCCAAGGGAAGCTACAAAAGAACACTTCAAATGGGGCAAACGAGATATAAGCCATAACTTTGGTAAAGAGAGGACTAACCTTCATTCTTAAGCTAGGGTTAGGTTTCTTAGATTAATGCGATCTATGAATTGCTTGAGAAGAATAGAAGAATTGACCAAATGTAGGTAAACCRATTGAGAATTATGGGATATTATTCTATTTGTTGCCTCATCCTTTAGTGCATTCTCTAAAGATTTGTGTAACCATCCATTCTTCTATAGTTGCCAACTAGAGTGTTTCTTTTTTAAAATTTATTTATTGAAAACCTCCCTTGGACGTGTTTGCTATTGGAAAAAGAGAGAAAATATGTTTATTACTGATATGTTATCAGATTGTAATATTTTCCTTCTTTCTTCTTKTTTTCCTTTTTAGTTTATAGATTGTCATATTTTCTAATGAATGTATTTGATTTGCTTGAGAATTTATTGGGTCTTTAATGAACTATCCATCTAAAATGCAGATAAAAGATGCATACACTCTCAACTTTTATGAAAACAATTCAAGCCGCCTTCCAAAGTGGTGTAATGATGGCGACAATGTCAAGCTTCCATATTGTCAGATACTCGGAAAGTATCGAATGGATTTACCTGGATATAATAGCATGGAGCCCTATCGACATATGAACGAAAGGTGCCCTTCTCTTCCTCCCAAGTACGACCGGCCAGAGAATTGCTAGGAAACCTCTTGAAAGTCACTTTCCTGTGCCTAGGCTGTGTAGAATATTTGATTATCTTAAAGTTATAGCTTTAGCCCATTAGTGTAACTGATAAGTGTTGATAATACAAATTGTAAATACAGTTACATGATGTCCAAATCGATGCACTATAGCTGTTAATTTATTGTAAATTATATGCCTTAAATGATGGCARTGTCATGTCTATATTGAGTTTCAACTATATCTCTGGTAACTTCAATTGTTGCAGTGATGATTTTGATGTAGCTTTTGCAGTTCATATCTGAAGCAATATATAGATCCAATGAGGAAATTGTGGGTTCTCTTTGGTAACTTAGGCTGCCCATTTTTTTTAATTTCCTCTTGTTCCTCACGTAGGACCGAATAGAAGMGCATGTTATGTTGAGGTTAGTAAATCCATAGCAAGATGTATTAKCAAAATTATACAACTCAGTTGACATTGACTGCCTGAGTGCGGATAAAATGACACGACATGATACGGTGGCACGTCATTTTCTAAAAATTTAAAACATAGACTAGACAAGGACACGTTTATTAAAATATACAATTTTTTTTTGAAAAAAAATATACAATCTTTTTAAGTGTGTAATTTTTATACGAGGAAGGAAACTCACATTCAATAAAATTATACATTTTTATGCTTAAAAAATGAGTTTGATTCTAATAATTTATTATTTTATTCTATATTATATTAATATATTTCTTATGCTTCACAAGTGTTCGATACATGCTTAACTAGTGTTAGAATCCATATTCACTTTGTACAACTGACATATATGTYGAGCTAATAAGTATGATAAATGTTTGACTGTTCAACATGGATAGATTACCCAAACTAAAGTGTMCATGTTTCTTATTTGACTGCAAATCATACTTGAGAAGTTAATAACCATCCTTTTTTTGTTAGTGTGGAATTCTGAATTTCTGCTGAGAAATTTCTTAACCTCAAAAACAGTTTTTGCCAYCTTGTTGGATCTCTTGATTTCAAGTTAGTACTCATGACCGATCAATATAAATACTCTAACACTCCACTTTTGTCATATATTCCATACATCACACTAGATAGATATCACATTCATGGAATATGATTCACTTTAAATATGCTTTGGTGGTGAAATGGTAGACACCCGAGACTCAAAATCTCGTGCTAAAGAACTTGGAGGTTCGAGTCCTCTTCRAGGCATAATGTTGAGAATGTCCGTTGAATTMRAAGGAATAACTCCTTTTACATTCATTTAGGTTAAATATAAAATTTAGCATACCCACTTAGTTGTAGCTGAAATTTGATAAGTTTTAAGTCAGTTATTCATATTTGCTGAGCTTCTGGTTGATCAAGATCTATGAAAGATGAGCTGCATTAGCCACTTATGGAATATAATTTTCGCATTGAGGATGGTGTAACTGGGTGTTTATATGTGCATATTTAGATTCTCGGTATGGTATTTGTTGGCATGGATTTACGTGAGCCCTTAAAAATCAGTCGGGTTTGGACCTCCATTTTGTTTTATCCAAGCTTCCATCTTTTTCATGCATTTGCATTAACAAGTCCCAGGAAAATTCTGCTGTTGCTACCTTTCTTGGTTTGAATTTTCACTTAGTATTACCGAAGTGTCATTCTAGTCATGGATAGATCATCCAAGTCCGAGTCGTAAGACAATGACAATTGCACCATAAAGACTCGCTGTTGGCTGCCTTARCTAATGCATTTGAGATGCCTTTTACTTTCTCATCCTTTCTTCCCACGCAGAGTTCAGATACCCAAAGTAGAGATCATCTCTGATAGCCTATGGTTTAAAACCATGAGGTTCG